GGCTCAATTTATCCAGACATGGAATTGCACCCAATTCCTTCTCTCCTGGATCCCCTGCCCATCAGCTACCTGTAATCACTGACATGACACACTCCTCTTTTAGCCCTAACAAATCTAATCCAGTTACCACCATGAGTCTTGTTAGGTGTGTGGGACATTTACCCTGTCAGCCCAGTAAATGTGTGTGTGTGTGTGTGTCTCTGCTTGTGTCAGTTTAATTATTGCTGCCATCTCAAATCAAGACAGCGTCTCGACAGAATGACTTGTGAAGAAAAGTCATTTCCTCTCTCTTTTTAAGCTGCTATAGTCTTTTGGCAGGACCACCCATTGACAAAAAGACATTTGAATGTGTGGCAGACAGGTCCTACACACGCCCATGTGCCTGGCTGCAAAACAAACAGTCTGCCAGCGGCCCCAGATATGGTTCAATAGATTTTCTCACAAGGGAATAGGGCTCACTTATCTTTAATCTGACTCTTGGAGAATCCCTCTGTTGTGCGGCAAGTTGTTCTCTTTAAATGATATATTATTTGACAGTGCGTTGTGTATTTTCACGAGACAGTGCTCTGCTTCTGTAAATTTCAAGCATAGGAAATACATGATGAACTACAGAGAGACAGATTGTTGAGGCCTATTAAATACGCGATATTACAGAAAAAAACATCAAAAACATACCAGGAGTTGTGTTTTGTTTCATTTCCAAAGGCTTTGAGTAACTCTTAATTTTTTAGTCTGTCTACATCTCCAAAGCTCAAAATGCTCTGTGTCATCCAGCAGTAGTTTTCAAGCTAACAGCTACCTTTAACCTTTGTTCTGTAGAAAATGACAATTCCAGGGCTGAAATTATCCAAATGATTCTAGTGAAGGTGTATGAAGACATATTGGAGCATTTCCTGTATTACCACATGACATCACAAAGAACAGATATGCAGGGTTTGCATGTTAAACATGTGTGAATGAAACAAAACACAACTCCAGGTCTGTTTGTGATAAGGAAACAACATTATAACATAGATCAAAAAATAGTGTAATTGGGCCCTTTAATTACTTAAATGTTAACCTGAACATCATAATCCCTAAATTAAGTAGTTACTAAGCCTGAATAATTCTTAATTAACTTTGTACATTATCTCTCTTTGTTCATGCTTTATTTAGACTAGTTTAACTTCTCAACCATAAAAGACAGAAATTTGAAAAGCTGATAGTTGCTGCTTTCCCAGCATATTTCCAGCCTTATCATCAATAGGAATGCAGCGTGTGACATAGGGAAAAAAGTGTAAACCGCACTGGACACCTCTATTTGAACGTCTCCAGGGCGTCTGGAAGAAGAAGAACAAAGAGAAAGACTCGTGAACCGGAGCTCGCAGCCCAGTCGGAGCTAGGAGCCCGCGGAAGCTCAAAGCCCACGGCTGGTCCGGCTGGAGCTGGAGCCCTCGGCTGGGCTGAGCTCGCAGCCCACAGAGGCTCGGACACGTTACATCTCACGTGGTCAGAAAAAAGTGAAAAAAGTGTAAAGAAAAGACATCAAACTTAAAGAAACGCTCACGGTCGACTTTTTCAAAATAAAAGCCAGTGAGCAACAGACGTTTACAATAATAATAATATGTAATAATAATAATAATAAATAAAAACTGCATTAATGGTGTTAAAATAATCTGCGGTGCTAATGAATGAATTAGTTAATGCAAAATGAACGCGTTAAAGTGCCCGGCCCTAAAAGTAACAGATTGTACTGGAAAAAGGGATGTATAACACTTCATTAGGAGGTAAAAGGGGGAGTTTTAATAGCAAAATTAAGAAAAAAAATTCAGGCGAGGACAAATGTTCTAAAATTACTTTTAGGTCTGGAAGGGTTAAGGAATAGTCTTTGTAAATTGGTATCAGTATTATTAATCGGGCCTGTACCACATTTAGAGATAACATATTCTTAGCAAAACAGAAAGGCAAAATCCAATAATAAAGAAGGTTAATTATTTTACTTTATATTCCGAGTCCTTTAAATTCGGTGCAGAGTCTGTAGTTGCTGACACTGGTTCACTATTATTCAGTGACTGACATCTCCAAAGCTGCTGTGGGCTCTATAGGTCAGAGGGCTAAAATCTCTACACGCGGTGCTTACATACACACACACGAGTACACACTTGTATTTCAAACACTTTAAACTGTTCCTGTACATGCTCAGAGGCTCAGAGAGTGACATTTCCTGGAGAACGCAGGGCTAAGCGTTTAGACCTTTAGAGAAAGCGCCTCTCTCATCCACCTTTATTCCATTTCTTATCTGTATTTGTTCTTCCAGCACTATGTTGTGGTTTTCTGCACCTGCTTCCTTGGGCCTGGATGTTCCCACACACACTATTGGCTGTGGAGAGAAAGTGAAAATGGAAATGTGCATGTTCAGCAGTGTTGGGAAGAATTCTTAAATGGCCCATCTTACGCTATTTTCTGATCTATGTTGTTTCCTCATAAAAAAATAGGCCTGGAGTTGTGTTTTGTTTCATTCGCACATGTTTAAGACACAAACCCTGCATATTTAGGCTGAGTTGTTCTCTGAAACAGAAAACACTCCAACTTGTTCCAACTTGTGATGTCATGTGTAATACAGGAAGTGCTCCACTGTGTAAAGTCCATACACTGACAATAGAATAATTTGGATCATTTCAGCCCTGGAATTGCTAATCTCTACTGAACTAAAGATAAAACGGAGCTGTTAACTTTAAAACTACTGCTTCATGACATCGCAAGATGGAACACAGCATTTTGAGCTTTGGGGATGTAGACGGACTAAGACTAAGGGACTCTGTCTGCAGTGCTTAATGCTCAGTTTGGATTTTTTTGTGAAATCAGATTTTTTTTTTTGCGAGGTTGTTCACATTTCCAAAAAATGCGATTTGTGTGTGATCTCCAGTGCGAACTTTAAACACCCCAAAAGTGGCCTGCAAGTGCATTAGAGGACATGCCGCTTTGTTTGTTTGAGTCTTTAGCCTCATTGTGTTTTACAAATATTAATTAACACACTAACCTTGCTTTCCCTCCAATGACTAGACTCCAAGCCTTCAGAACCTGAAAATTCTGTTGCATTGTCATCCACCATGGTTGTGGCTTTCCTCCAGGGCAGAATAGTTATGTTTGTCGCTTGCTGATGACGTGTAGGTGGGATGAATGTGACCTAACCATTCAGACTGAAGTCGCAGGTCAAAAGATCAGACATGTCCAAGTGGCCTGGGTCACATTTGAAAAAATTGGATCTGTGTCATTCAGACTGTCCTTAAAAGATTAGATACTGATCGCATAGGGGCGAAAAAATTTGATTTGGGTCACTTCAGGCTGCAGCCTGAACCGTAGCCTAATAAACCAGGCTTACTCAAACATGAATGAAACATGTATGTTTGTATGTATGGGTATGTTTTTGAGGAGGGAACAACATTCTGACATGGACTAAAGTTCACAAGAATCAATTTTGCGTAATAAATGTCATACATTCCAGGCAAGGGAATAGGATCTTGACAAGCAGGTACAGACTCTCCACCAGCGAAGTGCTACAATGCATCTTTAATATCAAAGTAATAATTAAAGCTACTATATTGCCATCAATGAATCCACTATCAAGCTCTGACTATAAACAACAAATAGCTCAGTGCCAAAGAAAACACAGCCATATGCACTGACCAGGTGTGTTGCTATGGTGAGGGACATGATTGGCCAGCCCTGAGATTACAGTGTTTACTTCCCAAAAAGGTCTGCTGCTGCACCACCGGAGGCTCCCTCACACTCACACACTCAGTAACACAGGCGGGCTGGAATAAGCTGGCTGATTGCACTAGTTTTATGGCTAAAGCCATCTGAATGGAAATGTGAAAGGGAAGTGCATTACCAAACTCATAAACACCAGGAGCAGCTGTGAATGAACGCTGTGATGAGCTGCACAAGTTACACAGTCGGAGGGCCATCGAGGTGCCTTGTGTGGCGTCAGCGAAAGCGAGAGATATATCTGTACATTTTGTGAACTTAATCTCAGTGTAGGACTGAATAGAAACAGAACAAAGAAATAAAAATAACAAATCATATGTCATATGCCTGTCATAATGATAACTATATCCAGCTTTGGGAATTAACTGAATATATGTACCAAGAATAAGTATTTGGAAGGCTCATTTTGTGTAACTGTATTACACTACAGTTCCAAAATCAAAGGAATACTTGGCACTTACTTGATTACAATATTTAAGCTTCAAATGGCACATAATCAGTGAGAAAAACAGAAAACACAGCTCTTGTGGTGTATGCATGTGTGATTTTTACTTCTCCAATCAATCAATCAGAACAAACATAAAGCTGTGTTTAAACCTATGTTGGGGCTTTACATCATAATTTAAATGCAACTTACTGTAGAAGTATTCTGATTGGCCCATGTATTAGAATACATTACGAAATATATTTTAATGCAGCTAAATACATTTTCAGAGTATTCCTCCGATCACTGACTATATCGACTTCTTATTCCATAAATGAAAGATGGAACAATATTTTAGGGGGTTAATCTTTTTGGTGGGTATATTGTGCTTGAACTAGTACTAGTATTTGATATTTTTTACGTAAGATAAGATTGGAGCTGTGGGTTGAGTAAATGGCTTCTATGATCCATTTTGTATCTGTCTTCACTGATGTCATTTCTTCAGATGTTTTTATGTTGACTGTTTTTGACACATATACGGTCCTGGTTCATGTTGATAGGCGTTTGAGTGAGAGAAGACATGCTCAGGTGTAAATCTAGATGGACCCATGATAGCCCAGAGAAGGTCATTACCTTGTCTGCTGGAGCGTTTAGGAAAATCACCGCTCTGCTTGGGACACAAAATGACTGTCCGATGGAGGGGTTCATGGTGGTCTCATCTCTTCCTGGCTCTGTACTTTTCAAAACTCCTCCTTGGATAATGCTTTTGGTTTGATAACACAAAATTTGCTATATTTTATGTTTGAGATTTCATTCTCTTGTTTTACAGAGACTAGTGGAGGCAGCAGAGGAGGCCCACCTTCAGCATGAGGAGGACCCAGACCTACAGGTATGAGAAATGCAGACAGAATAACCCACAAACATTAGTTAAAACCAGGTTGATATTTGTAATAGAGATAGACCGATATTTGAACTTTTGTAGAGTATTTGTCAATATTTTGCATCGTTCTCGTTTAGGTTTGTAATAAAAAAGGGCTTAGGGGAGTAATAGTAAATTTCAATTACATAATTTGGGTAAAATGAGCTAAATCAGTCCCAAAATATTGGCATAGCATATCTAAGTAGTCAGTATCAGTATGGGCTATGAACAAACGCATATTGGTCAGTCTCTAGCTTTTACTTTTTGGTTTACCTCTAGAAAAGAATGATATTTAGTCTGAGTCCACCCTCTGCCTCAACAGTATGCATGAAGATTTATATGAACACTTTAGTACAAAGAGGGTGCAGAACAAAATGTGACTTCTCTCTCTATCCTGTTTATAGCGAAATAGGGGTTTAAGGAGAGTTTGTAGTCAGTTAGCTTATATAATTTAGTTAAATTATTCAAAATCAGCCCTAAGTACAGAGCTTAATGGCTATTAGTATCAAGTTATGTCAAATACAGGATAATTGTTTAATTAATTATCATTTCCACACTCAGTCCCCTTTTTGGAAGCTGGGGAGACTGGTTGTGCATGAAGTGGTACAACCTCCTCACATCTCCGCATGTTGCCTCTGGTCTTACGGCTCCAAATCCATTAGAGCAGCTTTAACGTTCACTTGAGCTTAGTCCTGCCTATAGCATGTTAAGATTTTGTGGTTGTTTTCACTGGATGCAAGTCTCTAAATTGTTTTCTTAAGATGGAGGGGTCAAAGTTGGAATCAGACATACAAAATCTGATGCGGAAAATCTAAAATATCTTGAGAAACACATGAAGGGCTGTGTGTCTCTGTCTGTAGTGGGTAAGGCTATATTTACTCTGTCAGCTCTTAAAGGTCTTATAGTAAATGCCCCCTGGTTTGAGCTGTCATGCACCATTAAAGACCGATTACCGGATTTAACCCCTTGATGTTATTCTAGTCACTCTGCACTTTTACATAATAAAAGTAACTGATATCATTTCATTATCTGTATTTAGATAAGGTTAATATAAAATGCTAAACACAAACATTTGTTAATAATCTGAGAACAAGTTATACGTTGCAACATTTTTTATTTGGTTTAAGACATCTTGAAATATTTGGAGTGGAAATATGGAAATTATGGTGTGGAAATACCTTTAGTAGTGACTGTTATTTAATGTTTATGGCAAGTTATATAGCTGCATTATGTTAAAGCTTTGTAAAAAAAAAAACATCTAAAAATATTGCTGTCCATAGAGTTTTCCAGATTTCCAGACAGTAAAATAAATGTATGTGTTATTGTATTTTTTTTTACACTGATTCAACTGTTAGGACTGCTGACTTTGAACGTATTTGCCTTGAGACTGTCAGCTATTTCTACATTGCATAATATTCTTGCATCACATTAAGCTGAAGTGCCTCTGTAGAAGTGCTAATTTCTTCTTCAAAAATGATCTCGAAATTCTAGTAGGCATTCGGGACTGGAAAGTACAGGTGCTCCATATATTCCATTTACATTACAATAGAAAAGTATAATCATCCCTATCCCTGAACTACAATACCCACGATGCATTCTTTAATATATAAAACACAACGTACGACTGTGCTGAGCCATTTGAACACTGTGTGGGCTCAGCGGTTTATGGCAGTAATTACTTGGAAGAGCCCACTGTGTGTGTTTGTTTCACCTGAAATAGCAAAGCTTCGCTTCCCAAAAGAAATAGACAGGAGGTTTCACAGCAGAAGAAGAGACAACTTTTCAAGATTTTAAACTAAATATCTGCATTCAGATTTTAAATATCTGAAATCAAATTTTATCGTTGATTATTGTTAGTAGAAACATCACTTTTGTTTCATTATTGATGCATTGAGACCACATTGAATTGAATTGAAATTGAATTCACTTCCATTTATATTCGTTAAAGTATGGAACTGAACTTTAAATCTGAACTTTGTAACTTAAGTAAAGTTTACATGAATACAATGAAAAGCACTTTAGGTTTATTTTTATGGAATATATTAAAATATTCTCTTTTTTTTTGTTCCCTTTATTTGTATTTTTATGATTGTATTGTGTATGTGTAATGTAATACTGCATGTGTATGTGTAATGTAATACTGCATGAATGCTTATATATTGCTTTTCCAGATCCTGAGAGTTGCTTTATAATTTTGGCCAGTGTTCATTCACTTCATACTCGATGGTTGTAAACTACTGATGTAGCCACAGCTCCCAATCTGTGCCACTGGTCCCTCCATCCACCACTCACTCACTCACTCACTCACCACATTCACTGGGCATGTGGGGTGAAGTGTTTGCATTTAAGCCAGCACTGCTCCACTGTGGAACATGATATCCCCAGAGATCCCAAGTGCATTTCAAACCCTGCATTTCTGCATTGTCATCCTTAAGGTACACATTTCACATCTCTGTGTTTGTTATAACGGCATTTAAACTTTTTCCAAAAGTTTATCAACCAATAATTTAGCATCCTTTGTTACTAATTTTGTATTATTAGCCACTATTTCCAGACAACCACCAAAGAACTCCAGATAATTTCCATAAAATATATATATTTTTTGCTGCACCTGTTTACAGCTGAATCTTCCACCATCACTTTGCGCTGACCCCAGTTTAGGGAAAAGCCAAACGGGGACACTGGGAGGAGGCATTATCAAACCAACATGGTTACTTATAATTCAGACTTGTATAACTAAGTCTTGCTGCATGAAAGAGTGTTCCAGATTAGTGTTGTCCTGCTCTTACTGTGGGAGGTTGTGGTTTCCAGGCGACACAAATGAATCCCCCCTCCACTGGCTCACACATAATATTATTAACAAGAGATTGCCTCAGCGGATCTCTTTGGATTGGGCTGTGTGCGTGCTTATTTCAAATTGAAGTATTTTTTCAGTCAACACCAATTCTGGGAAAAAAATGTTCACAATGTGTAAATTAAAACAAGGTTGTATTATCTTTGATATAGTTTTTAAATTGTTTAAATATTATTTTGGATATTTTACTTTTTAGAATTTAAATTTACCTCAAGGGAATGGAACGAAAACACTCACCTAACCCTAAACTTTGGAGATATATCTGGCATCAAAATGAAATGGTGAAATATGTAACATTCATGTGTTTGTTATGTCATATTGTAAACAAAACATTCTCAAATGTACCTTTAGTCCTTCAGGAATTTTAGTTGCAGCTTTCCTTCTTAATAGAGATGTCATTCTTTCTTTAGTTGACAAGCCAACCTTTGTAGCCTTACAAAAGCTTGTTGCTTGCTGTACCTGTGTTTGGTACAATGCTTTGATGGTGGCATTTTTAATAAGGCCTTTTACTGCAGTGAATAGATGGTAATTATCAACCAGCTGAGCTATAAATATCTCCTCCACGCTGTAGGGTGGAACCTCCTCCATCACTATTTGAGTTATTATAACATGTTTGTGTGTGTGTGTTTTCTCCTTGGATACATATTTGGCTGGCAGCGTTTTGATAGGAATTTCCTTATCTATCCTTTCCAGAGCTCTTCTTCTTCCATGTGAAATTGGCACGGTAATCTTCTGCGATTTTCCTCCCTCGCTCTCTTAGCCTCTGTGCATGTATACTGTAAATAGGAAAGCACAGAGAGCGAAGCAGCCAATCAAATTCATCCTTAGAGGTTTTAGACAAACAGCCAATTAGCAGGCTCAATAGTGGAGAGTAGAGGTAGTACTTTTCAGAGGGGAGATGTGGTGAAGGGTCGATTAATCGGTTCTGTTCTTGTTCTGACCTCCTGGAGTGGTCACGGCGGTTTGTCTGTACACTATTATTGGTAATAATACTGTCATTCAGTTTAAGTGTCTCTCTGTGGTATCATTTTGGATCAATGTACAGGATTTGTAGCGCTGTCAATAAATGTATTGTTCAAATACACACACACACAAACATCGTTTTTAGATAGTCTGTGTTTCCCATCAATAGAACAGACTGTGCGTTACAAGTTTAGAAGATCTTAAACTTGGAGATCTTGATTCACCTTCTCAACAAAAACTTGACTTTATTTGATCTGAATCATCTTAAGTTCTCAGTGTTCCCAGACAGGAAAAACATGTTATTGTGTTTACTTCTTCTTAAGGAATCCATGCCTGGTAGCTGTTTCTTCTCCATTTCTCTTCAATTGAAGAAGTGATGCACCCTCCCAAATCCTAACCATGACCAAACCGTGGAGGATGAGAGAGGAGAACTGCAGGGCTTTAGTGTTTGGTGATGGTTCAAACTTCATATATTCTTCACTTGTATCTTGTATAAATGTTGCTTGAGATGGGTGTTAATTTATTTTGAATTAACAGCATACATACCAGTCGGTCCTTCTTTTTTTTTTTGTAGGGAATAACTTTACTGTAGTAAGCAACTTCAGCGTTCACGGCCCTGCATGAGTTTTACTTACTCAAAACATACATTCTAAGATGTGTGACGTGTCTTGTCAGAATAAACTAGAGAATGAGCCCTTCCAGACCTAAGGGCTATTTTAGTACAATTTTCCTCACATGGACTTTTTTCTTAGTTTTGCTTAATTTTAAAACTCCACCTTTTACTCCCTAATGAAGTGTTATATATAATTTTTTTCAGTACAACCTCTTATTTCACAGTCTGCATGCTGTAGTTGTGCCATATGGCTATAATAAAAGCTATAAGACCAGAAATACACGAGAAAAATATATATGGAAATTCACACTTTTTCATACAAAATACATAGCAAACATGTATAAACAACTTTTTGAACATAAAAAATGCTTAATTTAGGGTCTTAGCTACAAAAGTGCAAAATATTAAGTCTGTAAGTAAACTAAAAATATCCTTATTGCCTCAAAACAAAAAAAGTGCAATGGCCCCATGACTTTCTTGGTGCCAGTCATGGAAACAGGTTGTGTCAGTTCCAGGGCACAGAGCCACATCATTTCCTGCATTTCCATGGTGTTTATTACATTTGTATTTGTACATTTTGTCTGAAATACACTTTTCTAATAAAAATAACAAGGGATGTGCAATTACACAGACCAAGATGTGTAATTTGCCATTTATTTGAGACATAACTGCAATTAGAGTGGCTTTTTCAATACGAACATAGACGCTCAGATGCTCAGACAAAGTTCCTATTGGACACTTGTTTTATCTAAGTCATTGTGCAGCGTGTGTGTGATGAAGGATAATGCCAGAAATAATGCTCGGCAACTGTCAGCTTTTCAAGGGGAAAAAAAGCAAGTTTCTATCTTTTATGGTTGAAAAGTGTGTGTGGTTATGTAAAACATGCATGATACTGGCAGTCTGGAAGAGTTAAAGGTCCTATATTACACAACATTTACTCTTGTGACCTTTAAAGGTGCACTGCGTAACCTTTCTAGTAGAGGGTCCGCCACCTGCTTGTCTCCTTAGAAATGTTATTGCTTTGTCTAGCATGTTCCAGAATATAGACTAAACCTATTTTACAAAGGAGACAAACAGGTTACAGCACTACTCTATGTTACAGTTCAGATCCGTGGAGAGTCACCCCTATTCACAGAAGGAATTATTGTATTTTTGAGCAATAGAAACACCCGTAATAAATAAATGCTAGACAAATATATTTAATGTCATACCATGGAACATTTCAGGCAAAGAAATAACATGTCCATGGAAACAAGCAGGTAGCGGACTCTCAACCAGAAAAGTTATGCAGTACATCTTTAAGCCATGTTATTTGGGCCAGCATAATGTGGGCTAGAGCTTTAAACAGATAATTAGTGACAGCAGTAACAGAGAGTAGTGTCACATAACATTCTTCATAAAGCCAAATCTAAAAGAGTAGAAATTTGAGAAGTAAAAATGAGTTACAATTTCCAGTCCTTGTTCTAGTTGGCACATTGAGTGGGAGCTGGTGGGAGGTGCACTCTGGGTAATGCGCATAGAAGTTAAAGATCAGCTTGTTAACACATGATCGGGGAATGCATTAGTGGCTCCGCTGCTCCTTCACTGTTAATGCTGTGATGGCATAATTGACACGTACACCCACAGGGACTATGCACAGCTCCACACATGCTCTTACACCTGTTTGTCTGTATTAGCCAACACTGCAAAGCGCCAAAACCCCAAGTGGATTTTTTATTAACACACAAAATATATAGATATAGATAGATAGATAGATAGATAGATAGATTTTAATAGGTCAGTGTTGTTTTTGTGACCATCCAAAACTAAGAGGTGATACTGGGACGGGCATCTGGCATAAAATTTTTGCTGCATCATTTTGCAAATATTTATACCCATCAATGACTGAGACAACTCCAGGCAGTAATGGCTTAAAAGAAAGAAAAGTAGGTTTCTTGTTGTTGACGAAACAAGTGAAATTGAGAAATAATACATTTTCTCTCATTTGCATTGTTAAATACTAGGGGTGTAACGGTATACCAAAATCATGGTTCAGTACGTACCTCAGTTTTAAGGTCATGGTTTGGGTCATTTTTGGTACAGTATGGGAACAAAATGCAAAACCATTTTCTTGTTGTTTACTTGTGTTTTTATTAAACCAACAATTTGTTTTAACATTATACAAAATAAATAAATAAATAAATAAATAAATACCAAGTGCTGCTTGGTAATACTAAAAAGTTAAATATAATATTCTCAAATAAGCCACAAATGCATGAAATATTATAAAAAAAAGATTTCTTGTAAACGGTAAACAAAACTTTTCAAAAAGTGAAGCGCAGCACTAACAGTTCCAGCATGAAGTTTTACTGAATCTTTTGTCCAAAAAGCCAACTTGTCCACATTGTCTACAGTAAGTGCGGCCGCCCTAAATAGAAAAGCGCTGCGGGAAACACTGCCACCCCAGTCACGGACGGGTTCCCCCGTGTAGCTGCACATGTAGTGGCAGAATGTAAACACATACAAATTGCGCAAACTCACCCATGCATTGCCCTGCACTGAACTGAACGTCCCTTACCAAAACAGTTCGGCACGAATACGTGTACCCTATTAAATACATTATAATTTCTCAAATATGTGACCAGCTTTATGAAATCAGTGCATTCACAGCATTGATCAACCAGAAGGTAGAAACAAGGATTTGCATACAGGTCTGGGTCATCTGTAAAACCAAGATTTGCTGACTGCCATAAGCTGTTTGTGATGATATCTAAAATATGAAGTTTCCTTATAGAATCTATAGCTGTAGGAGAGGAAGTAAAGCCAGCGTGGAGAAGCAGGATGTCCTAATAAGGGCAAAAAGGGAACAGCTCTGAGACACAATGGGGCCTCAGCTGCTGCAGGTGGAGATGCCTCTAACTCAGTGTGTTTGCGCAAGTGTCCTCCTTTATTTTTTATGTTCAACTCTAACACAGACTTCTCCAAAGTTTTAAATATAAGGTCAAAGTGTGAGAGATACCATTAATATACCCCTTATCCCTTATACAATAGGGAAGTAGAGCACTGAGAGGACTTGTATGACAGAATGAGTTGTTTCTTTGAGTGAAGGTCAGGATTTGTGCCCTCTCAGCAAATTCATGACTGTTTAGTGTATGACTTGTAATACAGCGGACAAGATGAGAGAAACAATGTTTAGTCAGCACAGCACAGGCATCCATTCAATCATATGCACTGTGAGCTTTTGGCCTGCCTGGCACTGAAAATCCTGCTTAAATCCTGCTGTCATACATTAGACCTGCGCTTTAAATGTAACTATAAAATCAATGTGTAATAGTTGTACTGTAAATTGTCAAACTTTCATGCACAGAATTTCAAAACACGGAATTGACTCTAGTGAGCTTGTTAGAATGCTGCCACCTCCTCAAAAGCATACCTGGTGTTGTGTTTTGTTTCATTCAGACATCTTGAGGTAATCCTTTATTGTTAGTCTGTCTGCATCTTCAAACCTCGAAAAGCTGTTCCACCTAAATATGCAGGGTTTGTGTGTTAAATATGTGTGAAAGAAACAAATAAAAAAAAAAAAAACATCACGTATGTTTGTGATGAGGAAACAAGATTATAACATTGGTAAATAAAAAAGTGTAATATGGACCCTTAAAAAATCCATTGAAAAAAATCCATTAAATAAAGACATTTTAATTTTGGTGGATGAGATCTATTTTTTCCTTTTTACTATACGCTCTATACCATTGTTTCCGAAAGACTGGGATGCGACCCTCAGGTGGGTCACGAGAGATTTTTTTTTGGTCATCTTGTCACAATCTGCATGTAGGTCTACAATAAACAGTTCTGACACATAAGAGAGCCAGTGAATGTCCTGTCCTCAGTAGGGCCTGTATTTCTATGCTTATTCCTTTCACTACTACTTATATGTGTGAATTGGGATTTTCTCTGCTCAGAAAAATGAAGCCAAAGCACAGAAACACACTGAATGCTGTGCCTGATCTGCGCTTTCCTCCTGCCCCCCGGACTGGAATGAGCTACAAAAACGCAAGACAGGCCCACCTATCTCATTAGAAATATTGAAATGTTAAGACATGTTTTGTATAATTATAAAAATATTTTTGTAATTATTTTATTGACTATTTTGTTCCAGTATTGCTGGTTCAATGACTGTTATTCATTGTTTAAAACTTGAGTAATACTAATTGTTCAGAGAGACAAGATCACTCAGTCAACAATAAAATATCCTCATTAATGTTCAGTAATGGTCAAATCCACCTTTATTTTGTGATTTACGAATAATGTCTATTGACTTGGGCCGCGAAGGTTTGTGACTTTTAAAATATGGGTTCCCAGAAAAAAGTTTGGGAAACACTGCACTATGCTATTCACAGTTCTACCTGTCACAACCAGATTATATTTTTGGAGCATGTATAAAGTCTTGTAAAGTGTGAAAACAGACCGTAAGGACACACAGCCTAAAGGCTTTGGAGCATCCTGCTGTCAACGCAGGTGTAAAAATGCTTACGTTGCAATTAGCACCCTCGCCTGGACAAATACGTTATGAATCAACTTTACATACAAGTTATAAAATACATGAGTCTTTAGCTAGCCTATAGCCTATAGCTTTTACATGCTTTGACACAGTTGAGGTCTTCAAGTTTTCACAATCTCTATATTTATCAAGGCCTATAACTTATTAATAGTCTCTCCAGCATGTACTAGGCTAAAAATACATGGGAGGCCTTGCACCAGTGAGACTGTGCTTAGACTGCACGAGGACAGCTTTGTCAACTCAGCAACTCCCCACCCTGACAACAACCCCACTGTCTTAGATGATCCAGGCATCATGTTACCCAAGTCCACTGGCTGCTCTTACTCAGCACTTGGGCCACCCTGTTATTCTATACTGTGTGTCAATAACAATCACTGTCATTGCAGGGATGCTTGGAAGGAAAAGGATTTTGTATCATTAAAAAAAAATATCTGTATGTTCTTGTACTTGCAGTATGAATACTTCAATGCGGTCTTGATCAACGAAGTGGATGAAGAAGGCAACAGCGTGGAACTTGGAGGAGAATTTGTCTTGCAGCCAAATGACCATTTCAATAATTTATCAGTTAACCTCAGTCTGAGTGTGGTGCAGGTGCCCACCAACATGTACAATAAAGGTACAGTATGTTTCTTATTTCTAAAACATGATGATTTGGAGGATGGATTTACATGTCAGGATGATGAACTGGCAATATGCAATACCATATTTTTTGTGTGCAATAAGATGCAAAACAGTGTGTTCCGTGTTGGAGAAAAGCTTTGAGCTATTACTCACACATTAAGACAAGTGAGAAGTTAGAATAGATGTTAAGCTGTGAAATTATTCTGAAGTTCGACCCATAAAAAAAGGCAATGCTCAATGAAAGTCGTGTGTGCAGCTGCCTTTATGGTGAGTATAGATTATTTCCAATTCTCTTAAAGGTCCTATATGACACAAATTTTAAGATTTAAGCCATGTTATAATGTTACCTCCTACAAACCTACCTGGAGTTGTGTTTTGTTTCATTTACACATGTCTGAGTAACCCTTTATTATCAGATTATCTCTTTTATTATCAGTTTGCATCTCCAAAGCTCATGATGCTCTGTTCCACCTTAACTGCTACCTTTTACCTTTTGTTCAGTAGACACTTGAAATTCCATGGCTAAAATTATCAAAATGAAAAAGGTGTATGAAGTTTAAAAACACACTTCCTGTATTACCACATGACATCACAAGGTGGAAGAGAGCATTTTTTTTGTTGGAGAGAAGAACTGAATATGCAGGATGTGTGTTAAACAAGTGTGAATGAAACAAAACACAGCTCCAAGTATGTTTGTGATGAGGAAACAACATTAAAACATAGATCAGAAAATAGTGCAATAGATGCCCTTTAAAATACAAAGTAAAGTAATATAAATGTATTTTGGGGATATCAACTTGGAATTACCAATAGTTATTGATTCATGTGACTAACGCCGCTATTGTGGCTTAGTTTTAATGTTTTAACTCAACTATACCATTTTGGTGACAGATTGGATTACAGCTCTCATTGAGTATCTACAGTAGATGATTTTTCTTTCAGCAGGCATTCAGTATTGATTTCTACACTAACTCATTATTCACCAATCTAGTCCATAATGCCTGCACTTATATAATAATCCACGTACAATGAATGTCCAGTTATTCTAACCAGGCCCCCACCTCTGCGATGACACAGGACAAAACAAAAACATGATGAATGGGGAAGGTGGTGAAGTAAATGAAACAGAAAGTGGGTTAAGTCAGACTGATGGAAGGTCTGAAACATATTAATTACAGCCAGGATCAACGTGAGTGAGGAGCAAAGAGGGAAGGAAGCACGAGACAACTGAATGAAAGTGAAAATGTAGACCAGTGCATTAGCTCAGCAAAAGGAATAATAATTTGTTTTCCATTCACAGTCAAATAGTAAAATAACAGACTGAGAAGAGGTTAGGTGTGGACCATAGACTGTATACCGTATTTTTCGGACTATAAGGCACACTTAAAATCTTTTATTTTCTCAAAAATCGACAGTGCGCCTTATAATCCGGTGTGCCTTATGTATTAAATCTGGCTGTGCTTACTGAACTCAAATTGATTTTATGTGGTACATGACCCTAAAAAATCTGTCAAAATGTTTTAGCACAACTTTGGTATGCTACAAAGCCGCACTGCTTGATGGATTGTGGGAGCTTTACGACTACCATAGTCAGGAGCCTCACGGAGTAATATACATTAACCGAGACAGGGAGACAATGCTGGGCGAGTTATGCCATGATCTGCCAGTGAATCGTGGATGACTGGGCTAGAGCATGGAAACTCGGCCGAAGTCCAACCGGTTCGGACAGATATTTAGAACTTATGTTCGGGCTCTGGTCGGACTCGGACACATCATCATGTCAGCTGTTTCCTGTCTACAGTAAAATGATTCGCTTTGAGACTCTTAAGTGTACCCTACATGTGTCATTAGGCCTATGATTTTAATTGTGTCAGGTTCAGACACAAATTAATTGTGTCGGGTTCAGACACAAATATCTTAATGCCTATCAGACTCGGGTCGCATTCAGTCACTGCTCTGTCAGACCCTGGCCAAGCTCGGACAGAAAAATTCGGGCCGATCCACACTCTAGCCTGGGCTGAGATATTGTGAATGAGTTTTGTTTCGCTTAGTTTCTCTTAATGCGCCTTATAATTTGGTGCACCTTATATGAGAATTCAACATTATTGATGTTGTGCCTTAATCTGGTGTGCTTTATAGTCCGAATACTACAGTACATAAATGGACGTAGCTAACCCGTTAGCCGATGCGTTCCAAATAGGAAGTGAACATGGGGACACTTCCGGGACCTTTGTCTCTGTTTACCATTGACTTTACAATGAAAAATTGACACCCCTCGCTCTGTAACTGCTGCTGTGAGCCTCTTCATTTTGGTCTTAAAATGTTCATATTAACTCACTCTACATGATCCTGGTGTTTTTATTTTGCTATTTGGTCCGTAAATAAATTCCTTTTCCATCATGACTATGTCTATGGAGTAAACTGTGGAGGTGGGTAGACTGAATTGTGCAAAGATACTGTTATTTCAAAGTCATACTTCATAATAGGTCCTCATCATCAAACACATAGATATATATTATAAGGTACTGTAACTTCATAATAAAAATAGTCAAGTTTGTGCCTTTCTTATACATTTTCAAACTGTAAATTAAATATATTGCTTGATTCCCCCCACCTCTGCCGATAAGATGCACTTTCTGAACTGCTGGCTGCTCATTGAAAAGAAATCAGTGAGAAGCTTTAGGGGGTGAACGAGTCTGAGGAAATGCAGTCAAACTTCTGAAAAACACTTTGCCATGCTTTAATTATTCTGCTTTGAAATAAATTTGCGAAAGCCTGCATGCCTATTATTGCAGCGGTATCTGTATTGTGAGCTGTGAATTTGAATGAGGCTCTGTTCACAGGGCTGGTGGTGACTGTTTGCTCTGTTTACTGATGTCTCTCGCAGTTATTTAGTTCAAACATCTACTCCAGGGTTCAAGTGTTGTGTTTTATTATAGTGCAATTCTTCTTTAAACACAATACAAGGTTGCTCTTTTGTGCAGGTGACAATAACCATTTGATCACATCTGATTCTTTGCTATTTCAGAAATGGCTCATTTTTGCTAATAGGGTATGTCTCACATCTGTTATGTATTAGAGTAATTGCACTCTCAGCTCTCTGACAGACGTTGTTGTTGACTGTTGTTGTGCCCTTGGGCAGGGCGCTTAACCTTCTTTACCTTTACAAATGCGTCAGTGTGATTTGAATTCGTAGTGCTAGGAAAATGCAATGTAAGAATAATGAATCATAATTAAAGGCCCTGCACCCAATATTTCCCCCATGCTTTTGAGTAAAATTGCCCCAGAATAGATCTATGGTACAAAACAACTCTTGAGGTCAGAATAAGTTAGGTGTGAACTATGTGCATCGAATTATAAAACATACTATGGACCTTTTTTACAACAGCTGGAAGTGCCTCGATATAGGGTAAACGTAACTCCTGGTTAATGCTTTTCTATGGCAAAATATCTGTGGAAATCTCGTGTCTCGTGTATTTTCCACCAGTTTCATAAATCTGCCCCATCACCAAATCTTCATCCAGCAAGGTCCACAAAGGACATATTCTGTCCATGAAGAATTTATCCACAACTATCAAGGTAAGAAACACAAAAACGTAAAGGCAAACAACGACTAGCATTAGTGAACTACTGAGCAAAACCATGGTCATGAATGAAACATAAGTAACTTGTGAACTCAGACTGATAGAAATAAAATTAAAAATCAATTTAATGATGTAGATATTAGCATAGACAGAGACATTTATGCAGTTTAAATGCCTGACATGTGAACTAGTATTTGAACTGAATCTGATTTGAATTTGTCTATGCCAATATCTACATGAAATGGATTTTAAAATTTTAATTCTAGAATCAGTCTGAGTTAACAAGTTACTTATTAATGAATTACTTATTACTCATGTTTTGTTCATTAACATAATGTTAGTTTTGCTCAGTAGTTCACTAAGGCTAGTCGTTGTTCTCTTTTAAGTTTTTGTCTTTCTTACCTTGATATCCATCCATTTTTGTCCGCTTATCCGGGGCCGGGTCGCGGGGGCAGCAGCCTAAGCAGGGACTCCTAGACTTCCTTCACCCCAGACACGTCCTCCAGCTCCTCCGGGGGGACCCCAAGGTGTTCCCAGGCCAGCTGAGAGACATAGTCCCTCCAGCGTGTCCTGGGTCTTCCCCGGGGCCTCCTCCCAGTGGGACATGCCCGGAACACCTCCCGAGGGAGGCGCCCAGGAGGCATCCAGAACAGATGCCCGAGCCACCTCAACTGGCTCCTCTCGACGTGGAGGAGCAGCGGCTCTACTCCAAGCTCCTCCCGTGTGACTGAGCTCCTCACCCTATCTCTAAGGGAGCGCCCAGCCACCCTGCAGAGGAAACTCATTTCAAGCGCTTGTATCCGCGATCTCGTCCTTTCGGTCATTACCCAGAGCTCATGACCATAGGTGAGAGTAGGAACGAAGACTGACCGGTAAATCGAGAGCTTCCCCTTTCGACTCAGCTCCCTCTTCACCACAACGGTCCGATACAGTGACCGCATCACTGCAGACGCTGCACCGATCCGCCTGTCAATCTCACATTCCGTCCTCCCCTCACTCGTGAACAAGACCCCGAGATACTTGAGCTCCTCCACTTGAGGCAGGGACTCTCCACCCACCCGGGGAGGGCAAGCCACCTTTTTCTGGTTGAGAACCATGGCCTCGGATTTAGAAGAGCTGATCCTTCATCCCAGCCGCTTCACACTCGGCTGCAAACCGCCCCAGTGCACATTCGCAGGTCCTGGTTCGATGAAGCCATCAGGACAACATCGTCCGCAAACAGCAGAGATGAAATCCTGTGGTCCCCAAACCGGACCCCCTCCGGCCCCTGACTGCGCCTAGAAATTCTGTCCATAAACACAATGAACAGAACCGGTGACAAAGGGCAGCCCTGGCGGAGTCCAACATGCACCGGGAACAGGTCTGACTTACTGCCGGCAATGCGAACACAGCTCCTGCTCCAGTCATACAGGGACCGGACAGCCCTTGGCAAAGGGCCCCGGACCCCATATTCCCACAGCACCCCCCACAGGACACCACGAGGGACACAGTCGAATGCCTTCTCCAAATCCACAAAGCACATGTGGACTGGTTGGGCAAACTTCCCATGAACCCTCGAGCACCCTATGGAGAGTGTAGAGCTGGTCCAAGTGTTCCACGGACCAGGACGAAAACCACACTGCTCTCCTGGATCCGAGGTTTGACTATCGGCCGGATTCTCCTCTCCAGTACCCTGGCATAGACCTTACTGGGAAGGCTGAGAAGTGTGATTCCCCTGTAATTGGAACACACCCTCCAGACCCCCTTCTTATACAGAGGGACCACCACCCCAGTTTGCCAGTCCAGAGGTACTGTCCCTGACCGCCACACGATGTTGAAGAGGCGTGTCAGCCAAGACAGCCCCACAACATCCAGAGACTTAAGGTATTCAGGATGGATCTCATCCACCCCCGGAGCCTTGCCACCAAGGAACTTGCCAACCACCTCAGTGACTTCAGCCAGGATGATGGACGAGTCCGCCTCCGAGTCCCCAGCCTCGGCTTCCTCCTCGGAAGACATGACAGTGGGATTGAGGAGATCCTCAAAGTATTCCTTCCACCTTCCATCCCCAGTCGAGGTCAGCAACTCTCCCCCGCACTGTAAACAGTGTTGGTGAAGAACTGCTTACCTTGATAGTTGTGGATAAATTCTTCATGGAAGAATGTTTATCCTTTGTGGACCTTGTTGGATGAAAATTTGGTGATGGGGCAGATTTATGAAGCTGGTGGAAAATACGCAAGACATTTCCACAGATATTTTGCCACAGAAAAGCATTAACCGGGAATTATGTTTACCCTACATTGCGGCACTTCTGGTCATTGTGAAAAAGGTCTATTGTCAGATGATCAGGAAGAGCACAGTTAGCATGCTAATACTCCACACTGGTCTCTGAAACTTGTGAAAAGCACTTCTAAACTCAAATAATAACTAAAGTAGAGGTGAATGGAGGTGACAGATGCAGTGATGGTAGGAATGCATAAGATAAGTACGGAATAACTTTGGACCACTGCAAACCATTTAAAATGAGCTAGTTTTGTTTTTTTAATTTTGAGGGCTATAAGAAATCAGGTATTGCCTTTAAACTGCATTTTGTTAGTTCATCCCAAGAATTATATTTGAAAGAGCATTATTCACATGACTGAGCATTCTAGGTTTGTGTTGTGTTCCTCCATGGGAGTGTTTTCTTTGCATTTGTATCCACGCTGCATTTCTTTTCCACTATAGACTGTGTACTTATAGTATTCCATTACCTTTTATCATGTCTCGCTAGTTTCCCCATTATTGTCCATCGAGTCACAGTCATGGACACTTTATAAATGATGTCGGGAGTGATGCATTGTGGGTCAGTCCATGATCACAGAGCTCCTGGGGATTAATCTCAGGAGGAGCGTGATACTCTTAAGAATCCATCTTTCTAATGCTCCCTACTATCAAAACACAGCCAACAACACCATCTTTTATAGAGCTTTTTGACAGGAATATGTACCACTGCTTCGGTAAAGTCATGCACACATTTAGAGGATGCTCAATAATACAATGTTTTTCCCAAGATAAAATGGTCACCTCCTTTGTCATATATTTAAGTATTATTGGTCAGATAATTTAAGCCATTTTACTTAGTCTTTATTCATTGCAGATCTTTACTTTTACCTATGATTTTAGTGTGCAGTGCAGTGTGCATCTGGCATATATGAATCTGATATATTAAGCTACTTTTACTTCCAGATCCAGTCCAGTTCATTAATCTTGACTTGGGAGTTGGGCCTGATAACAAACTGGATTGTGACAACTAGAGGCTTTTCACTTTAATAGGAAATTGAACATGACCTTCATTCACAGTCATATGAATGATTTAATCTTTATTGGCACTTTATCTGCACTATGGCAGAATTGCCCTTGCGTTTAAACAAGGAGATGGGACCAACTACAATAACTAGTCAATGCTGTAGCCCCACTTTACTATTCTCCTCTCACGGTGTACCAGGACATACCGGGGGAGAACTGGTAAATCTAAACTGAATGGTTGCCAGTATGGATCTTGTGCCACAGATTCTTTCAAGATAAAATTGTCACAAGATTGTCCATACATTATATTTATATATATATATATTTTTCATGTGTTTTAGCTTAGATTTTTAAAAAAAAGGGAGTTAGCGACGCATAAGCAAACCTATAGTTCTAAAAACCAACAGCAACATACAGTATATTAAGTGTCCTATCGTTATGTAGGGCCAATATTTGCACTTTTGAGCATATCTGCTATCAGCCTTAAATCTCCAGCAGAGGCCAGTATTTTGTAAGGGTTAGGGTTATGCCTCCATGCGCATAAAGAGTATATGCATAAAGCTTTATTTTAACACTTTTGTCCAAAACGGGCGTTGCAATAATGTGCCCACACACTAAATTCAAATTAGATAATTTGGTTTAAATACATACCCAATTGATTATATTGCACCCTATATGCTGTATCAGCCCAAAAATATTGGCAGAGATTATTGGCCATCGGTTTCTGTAGATCCTTAACAGTTATGAGTTATGGGTCGGTTTCACTTCGCAGAAACCGTCTGACCTCACAGCGTTAGAATTTGTAGGCAGGTACTTTTTTTCATTTAACCTATTTGGTTGTGTTTGGTGTAATGTGCTGCTAACGGGGCTAACTGTTATATTAAGCTTTTCCCAAATCCTATAGGAAGAAGGGCAATAACGTCTTTCCCCTTGATAAAATTCACCAAACATTCTCTTTGTTCCGGTTTTAAATCCTCGATCTCGGAAATTGTTGCCAACACAGAATGTATGGCTCTTCGCTGATTGGCTGGTGCCCGAACTCGCACTTCCGAATACACCGTCTAGTGTATTCTGATTCCTGATCTAGTTGGCGAGAAATGAAATTGAGTAGAGGCACTAGGTGGCGCCAATCTGGCTAGTTATTTGCATCACCCATGGAAAAACCCTTATCGGTCAATCTCTAGCAAAAATGCATATAGATATATACAAATACATTAGAAAAAAACGTGGCCAAAATTGTGAACTAAATCGCACAATTGTATTTATTATAAAATATGTCAAAATCTCATCTTGTGTCTCATCATCTGGGAATTCAGTGTCGTCCTGTTCATAGTTATGTAAGCTCTTGGCCAAACTGACCCCTGCGTACTCCTATGGCCCATAGTTGCTGGGTTTATCTATTTGATCTAAAAAAGTGAGTGGTATTCACTAAACTGCTTCATTTCACACTTTTAGAATCCAGGATAAAGATCTGTATACATTAAAATGGGGGTCAGAGCCTTCTACCCTTCATATACTGATCTGAGTCTCTAAACTGCACCACATTATAACCCACATATTGTTGTGTAAATGGGGCTGGCTCACACCCAGCCTCCACTCCACAGATATGGCCTGGCCTGTTTACTGTGCAGAGAGGCTTATTGTACATGAGCCTCCAGAAGACTAATTCAATCATGGCTTATTGGCACCACTGTTGACAGCAGAACAAAAGGCAGGAATGGGCTGATGGAAAATCTGTTATCTGCTTTTCATTCACTCCCCGTTAGGTATTTGTCTGTCTGTTTCTATAATATTCTGCCCGGGTTTGGCTTAGCGGATATTAACTTTCAAAACTTGTAGCGCCAATAGGTAATTTTGGGGTGGTGATAAAAGCTCTACATTTTGAATTTTAAAACACAAAAACATAGGGGCCTACTGTTTAACCCATTCATTTTCTGAATCTGAAGTTGTCCAGTTGCCCATGAAGGTTTCAGTTACCACAGCCTGTGTTAAACCAACGTAGACTTTAAAGGGCCATGTTATAATGTTGTTTCCTCATCACCAACAAATCCTGCATATTTAGCAGTCTTGCTGATCATAACTGAACAAAAGGTGAATGGTTGCTGTTCACTTGAAAGCTACCACTTCATGACATCACAAGGTGGAACAGAACATTTAGAACTTTGGAGAAGTTTAAAATGCTCTGTAATAATGTAGGGTTACTAGGACCTGCAATATGGGACCATATGGGAATACAAAAGTCAGTGTTTATTCAAATGTATTCAGAATCTGTAGTGCGACATGTTAACATTTTGCTAATTCATTTCTATGAACTTTTGGCACATCTCCAGTCCTGAGCTCTATTGATTATTTTGCTTCTAATTTCAAGGGGTCTAACTGCTGTACCACTTTTTAAATTTCACATAACCTATATATATTATCAAAGTACCATAGTGATAACTGTTACTTTATACATCTGTATACAAAATTATGTAGAATAAAGGTCCTAAAAATAAATGTAGAACTTGACTAGGGGTGTGCAGAAATACTGAAATATTGATATATCGTGTTGTTTAATTTGATGATATGCTATCGGTATCATGGGCTGCTGTATCAATATGTCGCGAAGAGTATTTTTTTGTCATGTTTTACAAAATTATTTTGTGAAAGAGCTACAATTGTGTTGCTCGTTTGGAGAAAGGTCACTTGTTTATTCGATACAGTTGATGGGTGTTTTTCATATGAACTTAGTGGTTTAATAAAGACTTTTAGTATCACAGCCATGATTTAAGCTTGGTTTTTAACTGTTGTTTTGAAATATATCATATCAAATTGTATTGAATCAAAAGTGCACTGTATAGAAAACCGTATCATATCGTGGCCTATGTATTGAGGTATGTATTGTGTCGGCAACTTCTGAATGATACCCAACCCTAAACTTGACAATATGCTTTTCCCTCTGTATTTCAGATTCTGCTATTGTCAACGGCGTGTACTGGTCCGAGGCCCTAAATAAAGTCTTTGTGGATAATTTTGAGAAGGACCCATCGCTCATCTGGCAGTACTTTGGCAGTGCAAAGGGCTTTTTCCGACAGTACCCAGGTAAGCGTGTATTCCCCTGTGTGGGACTGTATTGCATTCTGTCTGGTTGTATCTCTTTAATTAAGTTGCTCTCTCCCTAAAGTATACAGTGTGTGTGGGTGGCATTAGTGATTGTCAGACAGTGGCAAGTTTGTTTAGAAATTGTAGAGTGCTGTAGAGATGATGCTTGGGGAGGTAAGGGAAAAAGGTCAGTTTAAAATCTCTAACTGAAAATTGTATGTAAAGGTACAGGGTCACCTGCTTGTCTCCATGGAGATGTTAAAGCTTTGCCTGAAATGTTTCACAATATGTCTTTAAACTTCTATCTTTATATATGCAAGCAGATGGCACCAAGTTACGGGTCAGGTGTATGGGGAGACTTGTGTGTTTTAAGGTTTGTTTTAAATATTGGTATGTATTTGCAAGGCTTACAATGGAACATTCCAGGCAAAGCAATAACATCTGTATTGAAACAAGAAGTTAATATAAATTAATATAATTAATACAAAATGGTTAAGTCTTCATTCATTAAATTGTAGGTCAATGTCTATTCCACCCCTTATCATATAACTATTGCTTTATATACTGTATATATATTTATATATTTATAAATGAAGCTTTCTCTGTTTCTGTAATTTCAAAAGGCATTAAATGGAAACCCGATGAACATGGCGTCATTGCTTTTGACTGTCGAAACCGGAAGTGGTACATCCAGGCTGCGACCTCTCCCAAAGATGTTGTGATCTTGGTGGACGTGAGCGGCAGCATGAAGGGGCTGAGGCTCACCATTGCCAAGCAGACTGTGTCCTCGATCCTGGACACTCTAGGGGACGATGACTTCTTCAATATTATTGCTGTAAGTGTAAATAAACATACACCAGTAAGACATACTTATGGCGTCAAAGTGGTCCCATAATACACACCCACGATAAAACATGCATTCGGGCATATTGTATTATTTCGCACACGTTGCTATTAACTGCATTATTATATTAATGAGCAAATTATCAAATTATAGATTATATATCATTTGTTCATTTGTTTTTCAAAATAAAACCAAAAATAAGAAATGGAAAAAAACAACAATTTTCTTCATTGTTTGTCTCCAAAGCCAAAATGAAAATAAAAATAAACTGATAATGATTTGTTTTTAAAATTTTCGATTTTGTGTCTAAATGAATAATGGAAAAAACGGTTTCCCGTTTCCGTGACTTAAACTGCGATACTGGACTTTTGAGCTGCATACGGACTGATCCCAGGACTAAAACAGGACTAAAACTGGATTAAACCAGGTCTAAACCAGGTCTAAACCATACGTGCGCCCGCATAGACTGTTGGGTGATCAGGACTGAGACCGGGACCAGACCTGGACCAGACCGGGTCCAGACCGGGTCCAGACCGGGTCCAGACCGGAACTGAGACCAGGACTGAGACCGGAACCTGACCGGGACCTGGACCAGGACCAGTATATCATTATGAACATTGCTTACAAATAAGGAATGAAAAAAGGTTGGTGGTTTGAATCCAGCTCTTTTCAGTTCATACTGTTGTTTTGTCTTTAGACACTTAAGACAATTTCCTGATTTTGTTTTCCTGACATTGTGGAGTGTTTGAGTCAATATGTGGCTATAGAAGTATTTTACCACCTCAGAGTGTGAAGGGTGAATGAATAAATTGTATGATTTTTCTTCATGTTAACTGATCACAATTTTCAATTTAGTATTTATTTCATGAACATAATCTATATAGCCTTTTAACACCATTTAACACCTTCAATATTTCAAACCTCATGTTCTTACTGACAGGAGATTAGCTGTAGCCCTCTCAGTTAAATGGAGATCCAAGCATATCATTGACAACTGGAAATGATCTTGTTCTCGATTAAAATGACATTAATTGCACAGCATCAATAATGGTCTACTGAAGCGCTGTGAGGAGCTTGGAATGTACAATGTCTAATACATTACTGATGTACTAAATGACACAGCAACATGCAGGCCATGTTGTGATATTTGTATTTGTGATTGATTACTGGATGTCTGACTCTCACAGTGGTCAGTATCTATGTGTGGTGAACCAAAAATGTAATGAATTGGTGATAAGTGATCCAGGTGGGTGGCAGGATGTTTTGACAGAAATGTTGTTTGTACATTTTTAGGATGCATATTAGGTTGCTTATAATAACGGTATGTCTAAAAGGTGTGTATAAACCTCTTTAAATGTTTGAGCTACGTGCAAATAGAGATCAGAGGAAAAGCTGGGACAAAACGGCTTCCTCCTCTGTCACAGTCACAACCAATTAGCGCTGAGCTGAATGAAGATTTGAATTGCAAAACAGACAGTTGTGATTGGATCCTGCCCGCGGCGCTCAAACCATTGTTATCATCTTTGCCTGATGAAAGTCCCATTCGCTTATGTGTGGGACCCTGCAAGTGTGTGTTTGTGTTTTCACATCAAAACATCCCATCACACCGCCAACCTCTGCTCTTTCCTTCTGAACAAATGTGTGTTATCATATGATATCCTAATCGTATTGTTCTGAGATGTATCAGTTTGAAAATAAGATGAGAAATTCCAGGAAAAAGGAACAAAGTTTAAACATATCCCCCTTCTTATTTGGCTTTTAGTCATGAATATTTTAACCTATCTGTTTTCAAGAAAGAAATATAAACAGCAAAACAGTATGAAAATGTTAAATAAGCAAGAAGCTCTAGCCTTTGATGAGTGGCTTTTATCACAGAAAAACAGGCGATTCTTTGGGCCATATTAAGTTCTCATAATCTTTATGAAACATTCAAAACAATAAATATTAATTAAGCTGATCATTTCTTGTGTGTGCTTTTATTTTGCAGTATAATGAGGAGCTGCATTATGTGGAGCCCTGTTTGAATGGGACTCTGGTCCAGGCTGATGTCACTAACAAAGATGTAAGTCTGAGTTTTAAACTTTTTGTCTGTTTAATAATAATAAATAAGATACTACATTTGATACATTCCCAAAGCCTTGTATTTGGACATGTGTATTTTGTGAACTGACCAATGATACGACCTAAATAAACTTAATAAAATAATAAATAATAGTAGCAGTGAGTTCAAACCAGAACAGGCCAACAGCTTGTATCCCATACTTGTTATGCTGGACACTTCTATTGGGTGCACACCATGTGTGTACCTCTCAGGGTTTGTTTTTAGTGAGTTGCTGTTTGTTCCTAAATAAGTGTAAACTAATGCATATGGATTAGAGTGCTGTAGTTAAATGCAGTGTGACTCAGAGGCGCAGTCTGCTCGCTCTGATAAGGGAGGCTAGAGTCTTTTAGTGGAGCTGGGGGCAGCACTGACTGTCACACTGAAGTCTTAAAGAAACTGCAAAACTGCACCACAAACTGGGTCATAAACACCTGTGTCAAAGCTTCACAGGATTATGCACTTCCTGGGAGAATGGGAAGATTAAAATATGACATTTTTGTTGAGTTAATATGTATGCTAAATCTAGCCACAGATGGTGACAAACATGTAATCTTTGTTTCAGTCCCAAGGCTAGATCAGCATACACAATTGTTCATGTAGTGCACATGAATATAATGTGATGGATTTTCAGTTTTTTTAAATTATATTTGGTCAGTCTTAATCATTATATAATTAATGAATACAGTAAATGCAACGTATATTTCATGTTCTAAAATGCACACAACATTTAGCTAACTTTCAAAACATTTTTGTCACATTTGAAAATATTTGTCAGAGTCAAAATATGAACTATGAATACAAGTAGATAATAATAATAATAGACTTTTTCTGGTGGATCCCGTGTTGTGCTTCCTGACTGCTGGTATAATGAGACAGGAGGCAGCAGATGAAAGGTTGCTGACAACAACATTAACTCATTATTAATTGCCGGAGGTAATTTACCCTCAGTGGTACAGTGACCCCAGTCACATACACGCAAACACGCGCACATGTACACACACACTCAGAAAGGAAGCATTTCAATCTCTCAGGGCTTCCATGTGACATTTCCTGATGATAATAGGACAATTTGAAGAAAAAATAGCCCAGGTCCATTAGAGAATCCATATCCTTACAGATGGAGATAGATTCATCTTTGTATTTTCTGTTTTTCTTTGAACTTTTGCTTTCACTTTCATTCATTTCCTTCTTTCTCTTTAAGTGGCTATACTTTGCTTTAGATATTTTCAGTGGCCTTTAACTAGACTTAACTAGACAGAATCAGCTATTGAATAACTTTAACCATTTAAACATTTTAATCATACAACAAGACATACAATTCTGTAGCACAATAATTACAGAGCATGTATAGACATATTTTCTATATATTATCCATAAACATATCCGTCTAACATTTATTCATTATGGGTATTTCTATTGCTCAAAATACAGTAATTCCTTCTGTGAATAGGGGCGACCCTCCACCTATCTGAACTGTAATGTAATGCAGTATAACCTGCTTTCTCTCTCGTGATAGGTAGGTTTAATCTATACTGTGGAACATTCTAGACAAAGCAATAACATTTCCATGGAGACAAGCAGGTGACTGACCCTAAAATTGTAGTTGAATTTGGCTTTACTTGTCAGATGCATAAACTTGCTAGGTTTTAGATTTTACCCAAAGAAAGACCCTGTAGAAAGCTAATTTATCACTGACATTTTTCCATCTTTGCTTATGCTACTCCTTGTACTTGCTTCTTTTCCTTTTCCCAGCATTTCCGAGAGCATCTGGACAAGTTGTTTGCTCAAGGAATCGGAATGTTAGACGTGGCTCTGACCGAAGCCTTTAATTTGCTCAGTGATGTAAGTTATACACATTTTCAATACACTAAAACACATTTCCAAGCATACACGCAGATCAGCCCATTTAAAAGACTGCTCCATGCACAAAATTAATGAGTATTTCCATAATTAAATCAACAAAATCCTGTAAAAAGCCAGTAAACAAGGCACTCGTGACTCAGAGGACTTGACTAGGCTCATTTTGAGCAAGCAATTAATCAAACGCAGATACGCATTTACCATCATTTCCAAATCTCTTATATGTTTGACTTGGATGTTTACATTTACTAGTTTCCACAATATACTATCTATGTGTAAGTACATCAGAACACAATCAATAGGGCTGAACGATTTGGTGAAAATATCAGCCGTAGTTGCTTTTTTTCTGTAAGCACTGTGATTAGATGTAGGTTTTAATAATAGGATTTAAAGGTAGATTGATATGGTTAGTCTTTGGACTTCTGCACATCTGTTATCATCCTTAAATCTCCAGCAGAGGTCGATATTTTATTTTGGTCACTCTGCTGCCTAAAAATACATACAAAGCTATAGATTAACACTTTAGTGCAATGATATAACTGCTGAAAACATGCTGAAAACAACTGCTCTCTAAAAAGTTTGTGCTGTGGGTGAGTTTAAATGACATAATTGGGGGAAAACTGTCACAATCGGGCCAAAATATTGTTACAAAAATATTGGCAGCCCTTATCAGCCATTGGTTGGCATCAACAATGAAAAAAACATAATGGTCGATCTCTTGTAGGATTCTGTTCAAAGTTTAAATGCAACAAAAATACTGAAATATAAACTGAGACTACATAAGCTAACTATTATGAGAATACCATTTCAGAACATCTGTAGATATAAACTACAGGATTAGCAGCTTTTATGTAGAATAAAACTGGTAATTGTGTTATTTGTGGAGGAAATGATGATACTTTCCATTACTATTAATCTTGCAGCTCCAATAGAGTCTTTTACTATATATCTATAAACTGTGGTAAATGTATTTTATTTCTAACAGCAGTTCTCTCTCTCTTTCTATGTGTAGTTCAATGAAACAGGGAGAGGAAGTGAGTGCAGTCAAGCCATTATGTTGGTGACAGACGGAGCAGTGGACACGTACGACGCCATCTTTGCCAAGTACAACTGGCCGGATAGAAAGGTACTGCATTTTCAACCTTTATTTGCACTATATTTTTTTATTCTGATAACATAATGAGCTGGGAGAGCTCACTGGGATCATAGATATAAATCTGAAAACAGGTTCTCATGAAGGATCTTAAAGGTGCGTAACTTTGCTGGTAGAGGGTCCACCACCTGGTTGTATGGCAGTGCTATTGCTTTGGGCTGGAATTTCTTTCTACAGTATCAAAATAAACAAATACTGGCTCTAGCATCCCCCTGGCTTGAAAGTCCCAGCTTGAGCGTTCCATTCTCTCGAGAACGTCCCCCTCAACGTTCTTGCCAGCCTTTAGTATGTGATGTATTGAGTTAGAAAATCAGCATTCTATATCTAAATAAAATGAAATGTGAATATAGCGAGACCAAATGTTGGCCCTTGTTTAAGTCATTTAGCAATCTTCCCGAAGTGGAACACATTTTTTCAGTATGTAATATCAATATAATCCTCATTTGCTCACAGACCTATGAAATAGTAAATAAAATATTTTAAATATTTTTTTCTGGTTCTCCATGTCCTATAGTACCCTATAGTAACTGTTGATTTGGGAAGAAATATGAATTATTTCCTTACCTGTCATGAAAATAATTTGTAAACAGCACAACACAAGGAACTTAGACAGCCATAGAATTTGTTGCTGTGACATAACAGAGTTGTTTACGCAGAAAAACCTGCACAATTAATGTTTATATATTTTGTTTGTATGTATGAACAAATATGTTGAGATATATTGTAACTTGTGTGTGTGTAATACAAAAAGTAATACAATATATATATATATATATATATATATATATATATATATATAAAAGTGCAAACAGCATTTTTTTTTATATATGTACAGTATATAGATTAACTAACATAGTTTCATAAAGGGTACAGTTTAGGAGGACTTTCCAGCTTGGGGACCTTCCAGCCAGGGGTACTCTCCAGTTGATTTCCTAATAGAATTATTTATCTCCATGGAGACATCATCATGGCAATCACAGATTAGAGCTGTGAAGATCAGATCTCAGTAACAGTAGGAATGCACGTTTCTGTGGTATATTTTTATTTAAAAAACCCATAAAAAGATAAATGCTGGATAGATGTTTAATGCAATATTGTGTAACATACCGGGCCAAGCATTAGCATCTCCATGGTGACAAGCAAGTGACATACCAAAAAAGTTATGTAGTCCACCTTTAAGGGTAAACAATTGAGAAGATCAGCTTTCTTCCATGCCAAAGAATAAAACAACAATAAAAGACAATGTTCCTTGGACTTTCTGTCTTCTATCAATTCTATTATAATATGTTTATGCTTTGGTGGTCTCCTCCAATGTTCCAGCAGTATCTCTAATATCACAGCATCAGCAGAATGCAATGGTGTGTTAAAATCTAGACAACAGCCCCTATTCCTCCAGCCACCAATCCTCACTTTCCTTTGTCCTTTTGCAGTGATTTTCTGATAAGCTTCGACTTCATAGTGATATAGCTGAGTAGTTCTGGAAAGTTTCCTGACATGAGACACAAGAGGCTGTATTGAGTGAGCCCAGGATGTGGTCCGTTTACAGGCCTCTAAAACACATTTAAAAAGCCCCGCGTCTCCTTGGACCGGGCTGTCTCTGCGCTGTCCTCACAGGTAATTGTGGAGCTCCTGTGACAGCCAGTGAAAGGAGGCAGGAGGAGAGGAACCATGGAGGGGAAGAAAAGGGGTTATTCTTGGGTCATTTTCTGTAAGAGAGAAAAAAGCCTTCGGGTCTTCACCTCTGAAAGGGTGAGGAAAAGAATTACACTCTGAACTCAATATATGTACGGCTTACCTGCTGGGATGTGGCCTAAGATTGGTTGGGTAACAGCTTTGACAACTAATCATTTGCACTGGAATAGTGTGTGATGTTGTGAGCAGTTTTTAAATGTTTCTATGGTTTCTTTTTCAAACTTATCAGCATGAAAAGAACTATTGTGTGGTTTATATTCACTTATAATTTTAAAGTGCGTATGACAGCTTTTTATTATTCTCTTCTACTATTGTAAATATAAATTATAGTTTTACACAAATCAGAAATCAATTTGTGAAGAAAAGTTGAAAATATATTGGAAGCGGAGAGTTCAAACACACAATTTACACATAAGAAATTTTTTTTCTGATACTTTGAACATGATTTCAACAAAAGTGTAGAAGGCTCAACGCTGGTAAAGTCATGTAACCGCACTCCTCATAGTTGAATTTGACACTGATTAAGATTAGATTTTTTTTTTTACACTAGTGTATAGTGAAAAATTTATATATTTCTATATTGCTATGTTTTAACACTTTATGAAGTAGAAATAGTGTAGAGTGTTCTTTATGTTACACTATTCAATAGTAACTCTTTCTTTACTAAATACAGTACAGTACAAATTGTGTGGTCATTCTAGTTCATAATCCCTTTTACAAATGTAAAATAATAAAAACCACCACAAAATTCCATTTCAGCTTATCTTGTATTAAAACAATGCACATCATACAATCAAAACAATTTAAACAAGTCATATGACACTAATACTAATCCAACTGACAGCAGGAATTCTCTGTGCCCTCAACAGTTGGTCACAATGATTGTCATTTATTTTTTTAAAGTTTATTTTTCAATGCAAGCTGTCGATGGATGAATCAAGATCTTGCTTTGAATGGAATTCAGGCATGCTCCAAAAATTATATATATATAAAACTATATAACTATAACTATATATATATACTATATATATACTATATATATATATATATATATATACCAAATATACTGAGGCTTACTTTGGCTTGAGGCTCCTTGAGTTCAGGTTCTGCTGAAAAACAAACGCTATTAGCTGTTAGCTTTGCAGTTAACTTAGCTTAGCTTAGCTTCAGACGGTGAAATATGGCTTCCCTCGCACTGTACCTCTCCCGCTGGAAAAGTTACAAAAGCCCAACACTGATGTAGTGTAATATTCAAAATAGACACTTTTTAAGTGTTTGATGTTAACACTGTGAATCAGCAACTACTCATTTTATGTCAACACTGTAAATCAACAACTACTTATTCTACTCTGTAGCACTGTCATAGTTGAAATAACTCTGTTGAAACATATCTGGATTTTCTTCACTTTACTCACAACAACACCAACACCGTGAATTTAACACTTTTGAATATGCTGTGTATGGTCACTGTCGTCATTGTGGCCATACCAGCTTGTCAAAGCCTGATCCCGTCAGATCTCAGGAGCTCAGCATGGCTGGGCCTGGTTAGTACTTGGATGGTAGATCACTGGGAATTCCAGGTGCCACAGTGGGGCGCCAGTGGCAGTCATTGTGTCCTTAGGCAACACACTTTATCCACATTGCCTCGTAAGAAAGTGGTGTGTGCGAGTGTTGTTGGTGGTGGTTGGAGGGGCCAATGGCGGCCCCTGGATTGGCAGCCTTGCTTCCGTCAGTCTGCCCCAGGGCAGCAGTGGTTGTAGTTGGAGCTTACCGCCAGAGTGTGGAGGGAATGAATAATGAACTGTAAAGCCCTTTGTTTATCTTGAAAGGTGCTATATAAACACAATGATTAATTAATTAATTAATATGTTTTTGTCAGAAAATAATTTCTGTTTACATTAGAGGAATTTTGCCAGGTAACAGTTATGAAATTTCCCTAGTGTGATGTGACAATTTCCAAACAGGAAGTAAAATTTAAACCTAAAAAAATAAGTTTTATTGTTTTTGCGAAAGTCTTAAATATAATGATCTTCACTGTGTTTTAGTACATTGAGTGGTTTAACCTGACATACACACTTTAATTATTTGAGTTACTTACATTGGCTTAGTCACCCTGAAACAAACTGTTAAAGATGTGGCTACCATTCTGTGCCCATGGTCTCATAATTACCACCATAAACACAGATTGAAAATGGTTAAAAACATTCAGAGCAAATTCAATGCGCATTTGGAATTTGCTTTTCTCACAATTTAAATGAGGCAAATTTGTTGATGTAAATAAATTTAAAGTCATTGATGTAAGCCTGCCACAATATTTTTTTTTTAAGTGTGACATATTGCTGAAGTAAATATAGACTATAAACGATAACACTGAAACTAATTTATGACACTTACTCAGGAAACCCAATAGTGGAGTTAAACCACAAAAACTATTCTAAATCTACAATATTGTTGGAAAAAAATAAATGCTACTTAGTTTGCACCTGCAATGATGATGATCATAGAAGTTATTAATTCAACCTTTTACAGCTTAGATGTTATCATATAGACAAAAAATAAAAAAAATTCTCAGAGGTGCAAAGAATATGTATACATGATAAATACTGACCCCAAAAAATATTGTTCCAGCTTTCATGTATTGAACTTTAAGTTGATATACTGTAGTAATTATGGTGACATGCCTACACAGACATAATCCAACAACAAGGGTGACTAGAAAATGTATCCGATTTTTCCTGCCTACATGTATTTCTGAAATGAAATCCTCTACTTTGGACTGGCAAATCTCCCATCCTCAGGCCCATCCTTCCTTTTGGCTGAAGCCTGAATAACAGTGAGCAGAGAGGGGACAGTGCTGTGAGATAGATTCATTTAGAGAAACCCTGCTGATAATAGAAGTCTTCAGTCCCTGCCACTCTTTGCCTCCTGACGTGAGTGGTTTAATGTTGCTTTACTTCAGTCTGGTATTGCAATAAAGATACTTCACTGAATGCCCCCTGCAAATTGAGTAAACCTATGCAACTACATTTAACTCATTCAGTAATACTAACAAAAACAATGCCTGCTCAGAAAATACTCATTAGGTTAGAAGTTGGTTTTATTTTTATCCAGGAATTTCTGGTTTCTAACTTTATGATGTATGTGGAAAATTTAGTACATTTTAATCATTTTTTTTTTTTTTTTTGTTTTTTAGTCTTAGAGTTTTAATCTGGTTACAATCCTCTGAGTTTTCTGACAATATTGTTGTTGGAATAGTTGATGGTGGTGGTTGCTTATGAATGGCAGTTGGACTCATGTTCTTATTCACTGTCTAACTCATTACAACTGACAATGGCCCAACGATGTCTGTGAGAGAAAGAGAGGCTGGGATTAGCTGCCTGTGGTTTATTTTGGATATGTGTCAACTAAAGGCGTATTCTGTATTGGATTTGTGACACTATATGATTACTTTGAAAATTATGATTTAGTGGAAATTCATCCTAATTTTGAGTCCCGTTCTGATTGGATTTGTAACCATGTTCCATTTAAAATAATGACTCAATATACAAGCAAAACCTTAATAATAAAAACACTTTGAATGATAAAGCAGGATTATCTGAGAGATGTTAGGATGGCCATTCAGTGGAAAAAACAAAAAGAAGGTTTATGGATGTTGTCAAGAAGCAGATTCTGTTCAGATAATAGAGAATGGAGAGCACTGACAAAAAGTAGTTTGGGACTCACTCTAACAAGCTCGGAAATTCTTATAATTATAAGAAGAGCGATGTATATTTATGTATATTTACTGTTGCACTTTACATCGCACAAAAACGTTTAATATTGTACTGTACACTTGTACACACACACAAAAAAAAAAAAAATCTAAAAATGTACCAGCCGTGTTGTCAGGATGAGGGGAGGCAGTGAAAAATGGAGGCATCGTAGCAATGGCAGCTGTGCCCCCAGAGGCTTACATCTGGTCCAATCTGGCAACCCTCTCCTCGCACACACGTGCACTCACCTGCCAGATACACCTGCTGTTAAAGCCAGCTCAACCCTGCAGGGCAAGATGGCTTTGGCAGCCACCAGTTTGAGATGGTTCTACAGTTTTCTTCTCACAAATATTTATTGCAACACTCACTTTTAAAAATGTATTTTACTTGATGATCCGTTAGACGTTTATCATCTTTCATACCCCTATCTATTATTTCTTTATTTGGGATTAATTGATAAGTCTGTGAAGTGATTCACAGTTAATTCTAATTCTCAAACTTGAACATAGTCTATAATTGCCTGTTAAATAAAGGGAAAAGAGCAGCTAATCAGTCCCAGATAATGTGTATTTCCTCTGACACTGTTATCTGCTGTATACGGAGGGGCTGTGGGCACTATCCAAATGCGATTAAAATGACTGACGTGAGCTATCTCTCCATAGGTCCGGATATTCCCCTACCTGATTGGTCGAGAGTCCGCCTTCGCTGATAATCTCAAATGGATGGCATGCGCTAATAAAGGTTGGATATGAAATAATAAGTCATATTCAGATTATGTGAAATGTAAATTCTATCAACTATTCCATAAATATCACAACTTAAATAACAGGTTCTAAATGTGTAAGTCAGATATGACCCATTTTTTTTATTTTTAGTTTATTGATATAATAAATAATAGTGGTAAACATTCTTGATATATGCATGTCTTGTGTATTTCAGTATAGGATTTTCCCCACTGTATTGCTTATTGTAGTTTGGCTGCTCTGTCTGTATATGCATGTTCATTCAGAGACATGTGTTTGTCTGGGCTCCTTAGTTTGAACACATGGGTCTGACAGGAGGCAGCTGGCACCAGTTCCAAACACCACAGTGTCACAATGTATTTTCCTCTAAGCGTTGGAGGAAAGTGAATGTGCATGTGTGGTCCAGGCCGTCTATGTGGAGCTCTTTATTTAGACCTGCAGTTTGCTATGTATCCAGAGTATACAGGAAAAAAGTTTTAAGAACCACCAACTCTTTAGGTGTCAAGACATTTTTCAGACTTGTATTTTTCTCCATTCGTGATTTGACACTTTACCCGAGGACGTGTGCTAGCCCTATTGACCATGGTCGAGTTCACTTGTGGTTACGAGTGAACCAACCTTGAACCACTGCTCTTGTCTCTCAAAGTAATATTTTCATTCAGCTCAAGGTTCCTTTAAAATCTATAACCTTCCTGCCTGTACTGCAGTCCTCCTGTTCAGTATGTACCACAGGTGTAGCATGTCACCAAAGGCAGGTAGCATACACAGTTTTTATCTGCTCCCACTCATCCCACCTGGCCCCAAGGACACCCCCAGGCCTCCAGGGGGAGCACTCATTCTTCGGTCCTCTCAATGATGGACGATTTGCCTCACCACACACAAAGTCAGTTTATGATGTCATTTTGTGTCCTGTGCTGATAAAGGTCATTAATATTTTTCTATAGATAAAAGTGTAGCTTTGACAAGTGGGAGGTCAGATGATGATTTCACATGTTTTTTTTATTTTAGTGTGTGATTTTCATTTTGTCAATGTTAACATAGGGTATACTCCTACTATAATAATATGTCAGATTAGCATTTCATGGATCATTGCATCTTGCCTAAACCTGCATATGCGTGTCTCTTCCTGTATAGTAAAGGTCGTAAAAATGGAGGGAGGGATGAGGAAACAGAGGATGACCTGAATGTCTTTCTTTTGGTGATGATTTTCTCCTTGGCTGCCTGGTGGTGATGGTGGCAGTTTTTCTGTTTTTATGGATGACTGAAAAGAAGTGCTTTCCTCTATGTCTCCTCATGTCCTCTCTCAGTCTTAATGTTATTCTGGATTCTCCTGCTGAGAAAACTGTATATCCCCTTCATGCTCTGGCACATTAGCATGATAATAACACATTACCATCATGGCTAATGGTACCACATTCGGTTTAACTCTGTCTCTCCCATTACATTTACATACCACTTGGCCATTCACAATCCCATGCAGCTTTGCTCTCACAAGTACATCACTACAGGCAATTCTTGAGCCATTACTCACACATGTGTCCAGTGATCTGCTCACTTCATCAGGCTAATTTCCTCCAACATATGTGTTGGACTTTGCCTGAAAGCTGTATTAAGGAACTTTTTGTACTAAGGAATCTGTTTGTCTCCATAGAGATGGTATTGGTTTGCTGAAAACATTTGACTGTGTATCTTTGTGTAGCTTTGTAACTAATCTATCTGTAACTCAAGAACAGATTTTTAAAGGTACTTTGTATTTCTGAGCAAAGCAAACACGTAATGGAATACATGCAAGGCTGATCAGATTAAAGCCATACTGAGAAACACACATCCATGGAGACAAACTGAAAATTTGCACAGAACAAAAAAAAGACTTAACAAACAAGATTTTATTTCTGTTTTACACTGTCCAGGCTACTTCACTCAGATCTCTACACTAGCAGATGTCCAGGAGAATGTGATGGAGTATTTACATGTCCTGAGCCGACCAAAAGTGATTGACAGAGAACATGACACCGTGTGGACCGAAGCCTACATTGACAGCACTGTAAGTGGACACCACCCCCCTATCTCACACACTGCACACATTTATCCTGGCAGTATTAGCCCATTTGATTTGGCTGAATGTATTTGTTTTTGATATATTGGATGTTTCAGAGATTTCCAGTTTTATAAATAACTAAACCTGGCCAGAGCATTGTAGGCCTGGTCGATATGGGAAAAAAAATCCTTCTATGGATCAATCACAATCTTCATAAATTCTTTCAATTATTTTTAAAAATATCTTTCAATATTAACTCTGAACTGACTTTTAATCAGTGCCATTTAACCCCAAATATTTCCCCAAAGTCTGAACTGTGCTCCAAAGAATATTTGTTTGCTGGCTGCGGCATTGGCTGTAGACCTCAAGCTATCATTAACTATTTGAAATGATTGGATTAAAATCATAAAAAAATATTTGCACAGATTAAAATTCAATTAAATGCACAGCCTGAGAACATTGCATTTTTGGGGATACAATTTGGACAATCTAGGTCCCATGTGCATCAATGTTAACAGGTAAACAATAAGAAAAAAGATAATTCACTGTATTTGACCATTGTATTCATTTGTATTATCTAGGCAGAAGTAGCAGGGAAAATAAAAAACAGAAGGTTGACAATGTGTGCCATTTAATTGTCTTGCGATGTTAAAGTGTGAAAGTGAGTGTGCACCAGATGGAGCCATTAAGTCAATGAGCCGCTGTGTGTGTTTTAGTCTTGTATCAGGACAAACAGGCACAGCCATTTCTCTGTACCTCAGGCCCCCATTACACATACAAGGAACATATATTTCATGGATTTTATTTTCATGTCCTGTTTCATATTGATAAAAATAGTCCCATTACACATATTAGTGTTATTGCAGTTGTTATTGTAGTTTATTGTAGTTTCAATATTATCTTTTATCGCAGTGCATCTGTGTAACATTATATTGTACTTTAATATTTGTTATCACGACAGGCCTACATATTTTGCAGTTTTCATGTCCTGTCGAGGTTCATATCAATAACAACAGTCCAATTACACTTATAAGGAACATATATTTCAGTTTTCATGTCCTTTCCAGCATCGTATTGACCTTTACCCAAAGCATTTTTACTTATAATGATAGTCCCATTACAGATATTTGTATTTGGTCGTTTGGAAGAAGTGCAGCCAATTCCATCATGATTGTCTCTAAACGGAGAGAAGAGCTCCACAAATCTAAGGTGACAAAACCACCAGAGCTATTCACACAAGATCACTTTCACCAGGTTCATCCACTACTTTAAGAGCACCCTCCTTTCAATCCACCCATCGTACAGCAGCTTTTTTCACTAACTGGTTTTATAGCCTACCATCAAAGTTAACACCTGTGAACTGAGCAGAGTAGAAGTGCCAGTTTAGCTTCCACTCCCACATTGATCCCTTTTCTCCTTTTAATGTGCCCTCTGTAGCTTCCTCAAGCCCAAAAGGTAAACTGAAGTTTTGAGGTTATAGCTGTGGCGTGTTTGGGACCTGGATTGTTCATTTGTGTGCATGTGTGTGTTATGCTCTACTCTCTCGACATAATTTGGTGAACTAACTTACACCAACTCATTTTGATATTTTGTCTGACTGAGCCATGCTCTGGTATAGTGGTTCTCAAACTATGGGACAAGTATCACTTGGACATTATCAACCGGTGGTACTCTATCGTTTACTTCAGTTATTGGAAGAGATTTCCCATACTTCACTCTTGGTTAGGCATAAAACTTACTGAGTTCTTGACAGATGTTTGGCCTCTTGTTTTAGAAGTGGTTACGTCTTTAGTCTTGATTTAACTATGCCTTTTCAAATCCAAGCCTAGTCGTATCCTGATTTAGTCTCTGACATTTATTAGTGCATGTCCCTGCCTTTATTTCAGTTGATCATTAGCTTCCCATTTAGACCTTTTTTTGTTCAACTAAAACAGTACTTGTGTAAAAAAAGTTTGAGAACCATTGTACTTGTACTAGCGCTTTTCACAGTTGCTAAAATAGATATATAACATGTAATACAACCACAGGATAGGGTAGCCTTGCGTCCTGTTTTATTTTTATGGTTTGTTCCATGGCTAGTGACTAATTATATAATTTTATGCTATGTTTTTTGCCAGTTTTCTTCCAAACAATGCTGAAAAACTGTATGAAGATTGCACTGCTGTTGTCTTTCTTGTGAAACATTCTTAGTCTATTGTCATCAGTTAGCCCTGGCAGCCAATGATCGAATTTTCTAATTTAAGAAGCTCTATAGAAATGTGTTCTCTCTTAAAACCCTCTCATTACATTACTTAGATCTTGACACGTGTCTATAATTTAAAATATGATTTGAACTCACACTCATCAACTGTAAAGAGCGCTACTGGATATTGTGAATTGAGTCTATTGGCCTCATCTGCACGACTGTATCTATCAATACACATTCAATCACATGCTTTCATTTGTGGTGATGTGTGTCAAAGCTGGCACTATACAAGGTTTTATCATTTCCTTTGCCGGTGACTTTGGTGTGAAAGCAAGACTGGATTTATTTTCTGCTTTAAAATAGGCTGCTGGGTGATAATGTGTAATAGCCTATAATGATGTACGGGTTGAACTGTTCCAATGCATTTTTATTGTTTTTGCCATTTTATTTCTCAGTGTTTTATGAACCAAATGTGGATTGGAATAAGTGGCTCTATAAACATAAAAGTGCTGAGTGGCCCACAGAGGTGCACAGAGCTGTCCCTTTTGGCTGTAGCTATAGCCCAAATGACATACTGCTGTGAAATAAAACTTGAATAGATTTTAACTGATAAATCATACATCAAACTATAATAATGTGTCAGTGTTCTAAAGGGAAAATCTTACAAAATGAGCCAATATGTTGTATAGTATAGTATTTAATCACAAATATATGGTATATGCAATTTTTTATTAAAATGTGTTTTTTTATTGAGAATTATTATTTTATTAAGGTTCAGTTAATATACAAACTTAAAAAAAAATCATCTGGGCTCAATGTGTAAATTATATTCAGTAACATGACTTGTTGACGTATATATAATAACCATCTTGCTCTTTTCTCGTCACCTGATGTGTAGTATTTTTTCTCAACTTTCTCAACTCCCTACCTCATTCATTTTACTTCTTTAATTTAAAGCAAGTAGTATTGTCTGCAAAGACACCCCTTCTCTATCCTCTTCCAGTTTTTATTTATTTATTTTGGTGCACTTGTCATCCACCTATACCAGTCGCGCACACACTTACACGTGTGCACACACGCGCACACACAGATGCAGGCACACACCCCTGCAGCCCATGCTCCAGCCCCAGCTTCATCCATCATCTTGTGGCTCATTTGGCTTTGTTTCCCACTCTGTCGGATAAACTGACACTGAAACTCAGGGAGGACGGGAGGCAGGCGAGTGTGGAGAGGGGTGAGGGAGAGGGAAGAGGGTGGTGAGGGGGGGGAGAGAGGGGTGGGGGGGGGGGTTCTGGAGAAAAAAAAATAGTGGCAATAGTTGAAAAGAGATTTTTTTATGTTGAAAGAGGGAGAATTTCTGTATTATGTCTGTAAACTGTAATTGTATGTAACTTATATGTGGAAAAGTTACTGTGACCACTAAATACACCAACACAAATATAAAAGATTGCATATTTTATTTAGAATTTTAGTGTTGTATTGATGGATAACTGGGAAAGCATACCTGCTCAAACAACATGTCCATTTTTGATTATGGAGTAGTTTTGCATTGCCTCAGGGCAACAGTAAACTGACTTTTGTGTTGGATGTGATGATAGCCTCACTGGGGGTGACTTACTGTTCCCCACGGGGGCTCTGACTCTGGAGGGCACATACATCATCATTAACCTGGTCGCCAAGGAGACCAGGGTCACCTCTTACACTCCGGAACATTATTTGTCTCACCAGACTATGAGGCTTCTGACTCATAGACTCACAGGTCGGGGTGGGACACCATGGTTGTATTATGGTAGTTTGTACTTAGAATAATTAATCATGTTTACACTCTGGACCTAAAAAAAAAAAAAGATAAGATTGGCCTATACCACAAGAGTTAGTTTAAAACTTTTCCCATTCAATTTGAATACACAGTATTTATTACTATTAATTATATAAATATTGCGAGACCAAATAAAATATTGCAAATATTTATTTCTGTCCAGCCCTTCTCATCATGTATAAATGGATCTGCGTAGTTCCAGTTGCGACCCGCCGCAGATGGAGGAGACTAAGTCCTGATTTACTCCTGACACCACACGAGACTCAGAGCAGTGATTATGGAGATCCCTCTGACCTTGCACTGCAGGTTTGCCCTGGTTATGTGTGTGATAAGTCAAACTCCAGATGCTAACAGCCCCTTTGGGAGTATAAGAACAGCCACATTTGAAGACTTTCACTCAGGGTTCAAGGAGGCCCTGCTCTCACTGTCTCCTGTTTGAGATAAAAAACAAGTGTGTGTTTTGAAGAGGTGTTCAGGTCCCATGGGTGTAACACATGATGACCCTCCATATCAGTGTATTTCTGTCTATGATAATATTTGTAATGGGGTTCCTTACTGGGCGATGACAAAGGCAGACAGAAGGAGCATTATGAGAAGGTCCCAATAAAATGGCCTAACTTTTAAAGCTCTTACAATCTCCTCTAATTTTGCTATTACTACTACTTCTTATGTGTCTCAGGGGAACACGAGAAGGGATATGTAAAGATTCACCTGCTTGTCTCCGTGGATTTAATTTGTCTGTCTCAGGGGAAATAAGCAACTGACACCACTAGGCCACATTACAAGTCAGGTCTGTGAAGAGATGAGTCAGCTCACAATAATGCATATTTTTCTAGGTATTTTTTAGCAATAAAAACATCTGTAACTGAATGGATGCCAGAAGGATTAGTTTAATGCTATATTATTTAAAATTCAAAGCAGTGTACCTTCCTCCAGAAAAGTTACCTATTGCACCTTTAAGTACTCACTATATTGACATTAAAATGCAAATGAACATTCTAGGGACTGCTGCTATTATAGTGTATATATCTCTTTATTTATTATAGCATATAATGAATAGGTAATGAAAAACAGGTACATTTCTTACATATTTCCCTCTCCTGACCATAATATAAAGCTTACTTACTGTAGAGACCTGTATATTTGATTTGACTGGAAACTCTATTAACCATTGTCTATACATTAACAGGCCCCTGATATATGAGCCTTCAGAATGGAGGTTGGAAGCGTGCGTATTTTTAGCTTGTTTCTTGTGTCCTGTGATCGATCCCAGTCTCCAGCAGCAGGATGTTCATTGTTACATTAGAGCCACTGTATTTAGGGCTGCTGTGTTTTCTCTCTCTGATGTCCAATACTTTGTCTTTATTTTTGCTATTGCTATTACCTGCTGTCTATGCCTGGGTCACTACTTCCCTTATTTTTTATTACTGGAAGACCACAGAGAGGATTCTTGCACTTTGATAATTAGTATTGTTGTAAAAATGTTGGATTGAGGTGCGTGGGCAAAAACAAAAAGAAAAGGAAGATTGGGTGAGTGCTGTATGTTAAAGGTCCTATATTACATAAAACTGACATTACAAAGTTTAAAAGAGTGTTTTTTGGTTTGAGAGAATATATGAATGAAACAAAACACAACTCCTGGTCTGTTTGTGATGAGGAAACTACATTATAACATAGATCAAAAAACATTGTAAAATGGACCCTTTTTGGAATTAATTGTTAAACTGCAGCATTTACCAGTAGTTTTTTTTTTTGTCTTGTCATTGCACTTTGGGTCATATGTGTAGAGATTTAGCTAATGTCACTTCTTTTATTATGTAATTTTTTGTTTTGTGAATAAAAAGGCATGTATAGCATCTTTTCTCAGAATTGCATTTATAACAATGGACACAATGACATTTACATAGTAGATTAGATATCGTATTTATGGATGAGGTGTTGACTTTATTTACCTTCCTTGTATCTCCCATAACACTGTCAAGCTTTCATGTCTAATGGATATGAGCCTCACACCAAGATAAATATCATAATTATTCTGCTCTCTTTGGGAAGACAGGTACCCACATCCAGCCTAGAAGCACTGCCTCGATAAGCACAGTCTAGCAGATCAAAAGAAGCCTCTGATTGAACACATTTTAGGGGAATAATAAGCATGAATAAAACATTTTGTGGAAGTTTTGCCATTTCCTGAGATACTTGTGTCTCCAGTATTACTGTTAAGCCTGAGAGGATTGTGTGGACTCTGAGTCATTCAAACCAAGGTGTGTACAGATGAATTATAACATTAGGGCAATCTGTGATTTATTTCTGGTTGTGGATATGCTTACATACTATGACATACTGTAAATGCATTACACTTCATGTACATTTGTATCTAGATCTTATTCTTTAAAGGTGCACTATGCAATTTTTCATTTGGGGGTCCGTCACCTTCTTGTTTCTATAGATATGTCATTGCTCTGCTTTGAATGTTCCACAATATGACATAAAACAGAAGTACCTTACATTTATTCAAGGTCCGTGTACCGTTTGTTCTTTTGACTTTCAATTAAGAACGAAAAACAATAAAACTGTTTGTTATTTCGTTATTCCATTTTAGTGTCAAAAAAAGACCTCTATTTCCAATCTTTAATTCAAGTAACACTAATCAAAAACAGTCTTAGTGCCTAATTCAATTGATATTTTATTCTCTTTTAGCAACAGAACTTGAGGGGCATATAAACCAGAGAGAATAAAATATCAAAATTAAAATAAGCACCAAGACTGTTGTTTGATTTGTGTTATTTGAAATAAACTTTAAATTCAATATTGAAATTGATCATCTAAATATTTTTTGTCACTTAAGTGGAATAATGAAATAACAAACCGTTTTCCCATTTTATTGTTTTTCATTCTTCACTGAAATTCAAAAGAATGAATGGTACTCGGACCTGTGAGCGGGGTCGCCTTTTCACAGATCTGACTAGTAATTTGGTTTGGTCATCATTATGATAGAAAGGTTTAAGGCCATAATGTGAAACATTTCAGACAAATTAGTAACATCTCCATGGTGAAAGCAGATGGCAAACCCTCCACCAAAATAGTTACACAATGCACCTTTAACTTCAATAATGTTCAGTACTGTAGCTTGTCTCTTGTAACACACGGGCCAGCTTCCACTCTCCATGTGCATTGCCTGTCGCCAGTTCACCATTATTCCCGTCTGATATTTGCTCCACTTTGAATACAGAACAAGAGCTGAATTTTGGATCTGCTGATGTGTGGTCATGATTTTATGCCTATGATTGTGCATAATCGGCATATGACATTTTTCTTTTACTTTTTAATAATGTCATTGTATTGTTATTTTGACTTAGTTGGACGATGGTCAAGGTCCAGTTCTGATGACCACTGTAGCAATGCCAGTGTTTAGCACTAAAAATGAAACGGTAAGTGAAAACAAACATTTGCCAATTATTATTATAAGTTACCATTCAGTATTCCTCAGAGATAATGTGTATATGTTTTCAGAGAAACAGGGGGATCCTGCTTGGTGTGGTGGGGACAGATGTGCCTGTGTCAGAGCTGCTCAAGACCATCCCCAAATACAAGGTACCTTCTAACTCCAGTTGGTCACAAACTCACAACTCATGTTTATTTGAAAAACAGTTACGCAGGCTGGGCATCTGAATGTATATTTTTTAATATGAATGGTCAGAAAGTAGTGTATAGAAAAGTCATTTAAAATCAATTTGCTTGTGGTGCTTATCATATGACCTCAGCTGGTCTAACATTATAGCTGTGTCTGTTTTTTTTTTTTTATATAAAGAATGACATTTTCTGAAAGGGCATCATGTTGGATAAAAAACAACTACTTTTTTCATATTAACTAATTTATAAGAAAGGGGGTGGCATTTAAATCAGGCATCAAGTCAGTATTGACTCAAATCTTCACTGCAAAATACAGTCCAAGTCCAATTTTAATGAAAAAAAAAGCTGAATACAAAATGCTTTACAATTCATATTTACATTTGTGTTTCAGCTGGGCATTCATGGCTATGCTTTTGCAATCACCAATAATGGCTACATCCTCACCCACCCAGATCTACGACCACTCGTGAGTACAGCTCAAGTTAACATTGTACTATTAATACAGATAATTCAACTGTTATTATGTCCTGCTATATTCTACTACAGTGCCACATTTCCTTTTATTACCATCACTATTAATCTTACTACAGTTGCTTCTTAAACTATTATGTCTCTGTGCCTCTTAAGTTAAAGATAGCTCTCCCAAAATTGGAAATTACTTTTAGCAATGTATCTAGTGCACCTGAGGACACAGTTCAGATGTGTTCATTCACTCCTGGCCTGCATCAGGTCAGGTACAAATGCTGTTTTCATATTGAGATTTTCCTGGAGTGTGTTTGGATTTGTGACTCTATGTAAAAGAGCAAACTGTGTTCCAGGACTGTGTTGTGCTGTGAATAGACTCTGATACAAGCAGTGAATGGTGTGATTAAGTCTATTGTGCTCAGTCAGTGCTCTCACAGGGATGAAGGGAGAGAGGGAGACGCAGAGTGAGGGACCTGTTTAATGCCGGAAACAGGTTATTGTGCAGGATGAGCTAAAACTGATGTTAAATCATGGGCAGAATTTTCCAAAGAAAAAATATGGCACTCGGCAAAGAGACTGGGATAATTACTGATAAGAAAGAGCAACCTTAGTGGGTTGCATGTTCTTAATGACAGAAGAAAAAAACAGTTATCAGACAAGTTCATACATTTATGATTGGCCGAAGGCAACAGAAAATATACTAGTGTTTAAAGATAAAGAGATAAAGAGTCAAAAATGTTTTGCTTGTTTACAAGAAAGGTTGAGTGAAGGTTTACTTGCTGAACCTGCTTTAGCCATGCACTAATATGTACAAAGTTTACTACAAAGTTTATTTTTAGACTAACTTTTTTCGTGCATTTCATGTTCTCACTAGTACTACTTATTAGTAAAAATATCTCTACCGTGTAGTTAAAAAGTATATTTTCTACTTGAATTGAAAGTAGAATCAGTAGCTAAAATCGAAATTCCCATCCACCAATGACTGTCCTCTATGTACTGTAGTGTATTGTACAGTGGTTATGCTTTATAATATAAACTGATGTTTCCAGTATGGCGATGGTAAGAAGCGCCGAAAGCCAAACTACAGCAGTGTGGATCTGTCGGAGGTAGAGTGGGAAGATAAGGATGACACGGTCAGGATTAAGGCAAAAGTAATGCTAATAAATCAAAGTGACATCTTTAAATGTAGTCTATTTGTTTTGTAGCTCAGAAATGCAATGGTCAACAGGAAGACTGGGACCTTTTCTATGGAGGTGACCAAGAGCATCGACAAAGGAGTGAGTTTTCTTTATAAAATGGTTTTGTGATGGTCCCGGAGGCATGATAGAGGAAATACTCACTGGGGAGGATCCTGTGTGCCAACATGCTGGTACACTTGGCACAGCGCTGTACAGGATAGATGCTGGGATTTTGTCTCTGATTTAGTTTTTGGTGCATGAATGAGTGTGCATGTGTCTGTGTGAGCCCCTTATCTCCCCTGCACACATGTTGAATGAGAGAGAGGGCAGAGGCAGAGAGCATAGAGCAGCTCACTGCTTACTTTTATAATCAGCATTAAACATGGGTTTATTATTAAATACCTTGCATATCCATTTGCTTTACTTGCATGGAAAGTAGTAGTTAAAGTCTCAAATAACAGTCTCCATTAACATGTAATAAAAGCTTCCACAAATGTACATGTGACAATATAATGGTCTTACAAGCTTCTGTTCTCACCACTAGATGGAGCCACACAGCAAGAATTCCAAAAACACTATTGTCACAGCTTTAGCCTTTAACATTATTATTTTGTTTTGGTCTCATTTTAGAAACGAGTACTGGTTTTACATAATGATTACTACTACACAGACATAGAAGGGACTCCCTTCAGGTAAGAATATTAAAGCATATAATTGCAGATGTGATATTTTATCTGAAAACGTTTAAAGTAGATGTCTTCATCTCTAGTCTAGGAGTGGCTCTTTCCAGAGGTCATGGGAAGTTCTTTTTCCGAGGGAATGTCACAATAGAAGAAGGTAAAATACAATTGCTTTAATAATGGGTAATATTTGGATTATTTGACTGTTCACCTATGTCACTGCGTCAACTACATGCCACCTTCACCACAGCCTGTTGAGTGAAATAGATTAACTAAATAATTAAATAATTCATTACTTTTGGTATTAACCTCATGTAACACGCAACAGCTAAATAATAGATATTGAAATGTAAGACAACTGCAGAGGAGTCATTTACTTAATATAGATTTTAGTACAGACATTTTTAACAGGAAACTGTATAGGCAAGATTAATGTGGACTCGATGTGCACCGATCCAGATTTTTTAGTTCCGATACTGATATCAGTTCTATGGCTCTAGTATTGATATTAGTATCTGCCAATATCCACAAGTAACCAATACTAGTGTAGGGATTCTTTCAAAACACCGTTCATTTATTACAAAATGTATCTGCTTGCATTCTGTAATTGTTATATATCTTGCAAGTAACTACTGAACAGCTTTATATGATTTAAAGTTCAAACATCTCAAAGATATGTCCTGGGCCTGCATCAGTCAATAAAAAGTTCAACCAGGACAGAGGCGCAACATGGAACGTAACATAACATGGAACTGATACTCAGTACTGCACATTTTCCTGGTTTGATGCTGATATTCGATACCAGAATCGGTATCGGTGCATCCCTAAGAATGAGCGTTGTAACTATGAACTCAGTGGACTGCAAATGTACGTTCTATTTACAGCTGGTTGATGTGACCTCTGATCCTCCTCAACTTTGTGGGTCACTGTAACTGACTTGAACAAACACTCTTACACTGTAGGCCTATCTACTCATATACATTTGGTTTATTTTATTATTCTGCCCTGGCTTTTGACTAATGTAGTAATTAGCTTTCAAACCACAATTAGACAGGAAGTTAAATATTTCTTTAGTGGCTTTAAGGTCGTCTGACAGTGTAGTCTGTATATGCCTGTGTCTATTTTCTTGTCTAGCCTCATGCATGTTAATATTCATGGTGTGGTCTTCTGTGTGTTTCTTTAAGTATGTCTATCAGAAAAAGCCCTCGAAGCATGACTTGGCTTTTCCTGATCTAATCAGAGCTGTCACAATCATTCAAAAAACACATTTTTCACTACAACTTTCTGTCTGTGTTTAACCCTCTGTGCATGTGAGGTGTGGATGCCAACCACCATATAATAATACAAGTTCAAATTGAGTGCGTATGTTTATGTCGTCTGAGATATGAAAGTCTGATCTGTTCTTTTCAACAGGTCTTCACGACTTGGAGCATCCAGATGTGGCACTTGCTGATGAATGGTAATAAATTATTGCACTTTTCTCTTACATTTTACATTTTGCATTTGAAGACTTTATCAGGCCATTTTGGAGCCCAGGCCTATTCATCTTTTTTACTCAGTGACTAATTTAAAGAATTATGATTTTCAGGTATTTGGTACAAAACTATAACTTTCTTACATCATAATTTTACATTTTGTTCATTATTAAGGTATTGATATAATATAGAGCAGACGGTGAAGATAGGGGTCCTAGGTGAAAACAGGAGTTTTCCTAGCACTCAAATGCAAGACAATACAGGATTAATTAAATATACACTAATAAATCAAAATATGTTTGAGTAAGTTATTAAACATGGTTAAAGGTTACGGTTAGTTAGTACATGGTTAAAAACCCTTAAAGTCTTTTACATAATATGCCCCCTTTAATTTCCTGGTTTGCCTTCCTCCAGTCAAGATTTCTTCCCTGAAAGTTTTTCTCTCATAATCCTTCTACTCATATATTCATTGTCGTCATCTCAACATGACCCATTTGACTTTTTTTCAGTCTCATTTTACTCTTCTTTTACCAACAGGACATACTGCAACACAGATGAGCACCCAGACCAACGATACCTGCCCCAAATAGAAGCAATCAAACTTTATCTGAGTGGACATGAACCACAGCTCAAATGTAAGTCAGCATTCTCATTTTAAATGCAGACATAGATACATATTTGGATTTACTATTGTGTGACCTTTCATCTGGTTAGGTGACAAAGAGCTAATCCAAGAAGTGTTGTTTGATGCTGTGGTTACTGCTCCACTGGAAGCCTACTGGACCAGCTTAGTTTTAAATAAGTCTGAGTATGTGCTTTATTTTTCCTTCATATGATTTTATGTCAAATAAATATAATAATGTAATGTAATCAACATAATTACTCATATCCAGTGTTGGGAAGTAACTGAATACATGTGTAGAAAATACATATTCTGAATACTGATTTTGAGAACCTGTGTTCTGGTACAGTTACTCTTTCATTTGGTGGTATTCAGAATGCAGAAACTTTACTAAGTTACAAGAAATACATAACAGTACTTCATCATGCAATTTTGGCTTTGAACTGCACAATATTGGTGAGAAAAATCTAAAAATAAACTCATGTATGATATTTTTAACGAACAGTGCATAGACAGTAAAGCTGTTTGTAGATGTAAATCATGATATATATGATATAATGCAACTGTAAAAGTATTCAGAGTATTCAGAATACACTACTTTGACTGTGCAACAGAGTATGTTACAAAATATTTTAATTTGGGTATTCAGTATTCTGTAACTGAATACATTCCCAAAGTATTCTTCTCATCACTGCTCTTAACACTGTTACTGCTCTTAACAGGAATTCAGACAAAGGTGTGGAGATCGCGTATCTGGGCACAAGAACTGGCCTTTCTAGGATCAACTTGTTTGTAGTTCCCGATGAGCTTACTAACCAGTAAGCAGACGTATTATCAGTGATATTTTTCCATATTCAAGATTTTGCCATTGATGATTTGTATTTGCTTGTGCTTTAAGAGATTTCCTGACAGCTGAGGACAAAGAAGGAGTGTTTAATGCAGATCACTTTCCCCTTTGGTACAAAAGAGCCGCTGAGCAAGTTCCTGGGACATTTGTCTACTCTCTGCCATTTACTGGTGAGTACTGGTCATTCCTCTGAATTCTAGTGTACCCTTGACCCTAGACCTGAATTCTAGCCTGTGCTTTTAGGAATGGCACTTACAGCTACAGTTATTTTCATATCCCTTTGACCCCAACAAAAGAATATTTCACAAAACGGCAGCATACAGTACACGGAAGCACCTACTAAAATCATCCTCTCCAAAATAAAGTGTGCACTCATCGCACTTAGCCTTGGGCTTCCATTAGAGCAACTAACAAGTCAACTGAAATAAAGTGATTTAAACCAGATTACACAAGTTTCCTCTTGGCAAAACATCATGGGATTTGGGACACCCATCTAGACTTTTCTTTAAGGTTGGATTTTAATGAGAACTAGCAAAATGCATACTTTTGTTTTGTCTGGTGATGTTGGAGAGATCTGATCCAGCTTTATCAGTTCCAACTCTTATTCCAATGCTATAGCTTCAAGTATCTGCCAATATACCAATACAGGGATTGAAAATTGTATTTACTTCCTTTCAATACAAATAAAATAAGACAAAACCGATCCATATGTGTTATACAGCGGTTTCATTCATTGGCTGCACTGATATTTGGACTCTTGATATTCGATCCAGCTAATTTTTTTGTGCCTATATACAATCCCAATATTGTATTGGTGCATCCCTAGTTTTAAGTATACTTTTACCTATGTTTAATCCTTATGAATAAGCTCTGTAACTCGGAATCAGACAAATAGTTGGAAATATTTACATTCTAATTAAACCTGATCAGGCAATGACATAGTAACTCAGAGTGGTCTAATCTGAACTTTGCGTTGCGTAGGATCTGAAAACAAGAGCGTAGTCTTGGCCAGCACAGCCATTCAGCTCCTGGATGAGAGGAAATCGCCGATAGCTGCGGGTAAGTGCTCACTAAAGTGGCTGTTTCCCCTCCTCTCGCACACTTCTCTACAATTACTACTGTCAGTGTGGGCTCTGCATGCTTCTCCTCTTCTGAGCTCTGCCTTTAGTGCCCACATGCAACAATTCTGCATTGAACACGCTTTTTGCAATCCTATAGCTTCTCAGTCATGTTATGCTTGATGGATTTTATTTTGATGTTTTCTCTGGAGCATTTGGTTTGGTTTAGTTCACATTTATTTTGATTATTTTCAACCTGCATGAAATCATTTATACATGACCATGAATGTTCCTAAAGCAGTGTACCTTTGACATATGCTGTTATAATGAAGATCAAAAATATAGTGATTTTTGTTTAAACTGATTATATTTTGTTAGAAGGAAAATTAAATGGTCAGTTTGTAAAGAATAATACATTTGTAGACTCTCTTGTGAGCTGAATAGACTTTAATATATAACCCAGAGATGCAGCAGAGATATAAGTACTGAGCTCTGACTGAGATGTAGGCTTAGAATGCAAATTGTGTATAGGCTGGTTAGGGCCAGTACTGCCCTGGATCCGTGGAGCTGCAGACTCTAAAGACGCTAACATAACTGGACAAGTTGATGACATCATCACCACGAGCCGCGGGACATTGTTTGAGTCACACAGTAACCCTGCACACGCACACTGCATGTATATGGATGTGGTCACATACCAGGCCACGTGCAGCCCAGGTTTGGCTATGAGAGTCTAACCATATGTGGATGTATATAGTACTGCTAATTATCAATGTGTATGTGTAATGTGCACAGTATCAACCCCCACTTGAACGATTAAACCAAGTTATTCAAGAAGAATGAGGCTGCGGTTTGAAAGATATGAATATATTTAGAACATTAGAGAAAATAAATTTCAGTTATGTCAGTCAGTTCATAAATGTTCAGCTATAGGATCTTAAATATTCCTTTTGAGTAGTGCTTTTTTCTATTTACATAAAGTAATGAATAATGAATATGCTTCACAATGTTTTCCAAATCAGTGCCCAGTTCTTGGATGAAATACAGAAAACACAATAGTCCTCCAACAACACAAATGTCACAGTGGAAGCCACTCTTGTAGACGAATAGTTCAGAGAAAATAGCCATGACATCACTCTAGTTAGTTTGATCAGGAAATCTGAGTAATATAATGACATGATATGCACATTGTTTAAACATGAAAAATAATCCATATATTTGTTTATTTTATAAAATACAGTGATCAATAAAATTACAAATCCCTGAACACATCTTTAGAATGGTTGTTCTGTAGCATTGGCAGGTAGCTTTAAAGTCTTTTTATTCAAAAGTTAATATAGAAGACATCAGGTCTATGTATACTTTCGCATTCGCATTAGTTGCATTATTGCTTCTCTTTATCAAAAAATATTCTCCTTCATTTGCAAATAGGCACAGTCTTTATAAACTCCAAACATGGGTTAGTACAACGCTAATGTAGACACATACACTCCCAGTCAACAGGACACAACTTTAATGACAGCTGCCTACTGCTTTTGTATTTTTTTTCAGGGAACTATCTAGTACATACAACTCTGACTTTACTAATATACCTACAAAGACATCTTATAAATATATAGACCTGTCATTTCTGATATGTACTTTTCAGACAATAATGAAATTCTTAGCTTGACCCATATTATTCCTCACACCAGTCCATTTATATTTTAAATTCATTATAGGTTACCATTGAGTGTTTTCAAAATTATAACCAGATATTTGATATATTTCAAATGCGCATTAAACTTATTTTTTTAAAGACTGTTTTATGTTTACAATATATTCGTGTAGGGTAGTTTATTGTTCTTTTAGGAATATTAGTGATTTCATATTGCCCATTGAACCATAAGTACAGTAGTCAGCCCAGATATCCTTTTGCACCTGACATATTAAATAGCTTTTATAACAAAATGTAAACTTAATGGAGTGACCTGATCAAGGTGAGACAGGCAGTGGATGCAAGCCTTAGTGCATAGTCAGATATTGGTATTTTTTGCTACTTGGAAGTTTTTGCTAAATGATTTGATGCACATAAATAAACATTTTCACTCACTCATCTCAAACACTTAGTATGGCCTCTGTATTGTAGTTTAAAGGGTTCAAACCTGCAAATTCTGTGTAAATTTTTCAGTTTTGTTTTAAGCAATTGCATTTTCCAGTGGTTCTTTCTCATCTGCTGTTGCGTGATCCGCCCCCTGCGCTGCTGCCAACTCCTCGTTCTTCTTGAGCTCTCTCTGATATTTGGCCATGATAGCAGCGTAGGCACAGCCATACACTGCGGCTGCGAGCATCATGAGACACACAATCCCACATACCACTCCAGTTATAATCACCGTAGCTATAGCGTGGCGCAAGTTCACCGGTCTTTGTTTTTGCTTGGCTTCGCACTCAGGCACGTTTCCCCCTCCCCCGCCGCCTCCGCTATCTCCCATGGTGACATGGTGGGTGTGACCTGAGGGGTGGTTGCCGTGGGCGTGGCCTCGGAGCAGCCTGTCTGACTCCAGGTGTTGGATGTTGGCAAATAGGTAGTGGTAGCTTGTGGTCATGCAGGTATGGAAGAGCTGGTATGGGATCTTCTGTAAATCTCTGTTCTTCATCTCATCAGGTTGGGTGCAAAGAATCTCATCTACAGCGCCACCTAGATATTAAAAGTGTATAGTTATAATAATGTGACATATCCTCCTGGGACCTAAAGAAAAAAAGTATATGGCAATATATATATTTTTGTGATTTCTATTTTTATTTTTATTTTAATTTATAATTTTGTAACATGTTCTCTGTAATGGATGCCGGGGGACATTTTGGTGTTAAATCAGTGTACAATGTACAATGTTTTTAGTTTTTTTTTTTAATCATAGAGCTGCTCCACACTAACTACTACTGAGTTATTTTTTTTAAATTCTGGACATGATAGTACCTTATAATCCCCCAGCCCTATTTAGGCAGTGGAACCTAGTCCCCTCATTAAGAGTCTATCTCAAAACACATAAAAGATTGACTGGTTAACTCAGTGTCCACTATAAAGGATGCAAATGAATGGGCCGGGTTTCAGGAGGATATGCATAGTATTACTATGGATAGTACTGTTCCTCGTACTCATTTTATTGCATAATTATACTGAATTACTGTAATATGTTTTCAGAAACATGTCTAGAAACATATCTATTCTGATTAAGATGGTGCTCACTTTACATTCACTATAAAGTCTCACTTAAAAGGCTTTACATTCTTCACTGTTGCCAGAAACTGTTCAGTTAGTGTCTACACCTGCTACTAGAAGGGAACCCGGCTATTTTCAGCAGTACCACTAGAATATTAGTATTATTTTTGTGTCCTTATGTAATCGAGTGGTAGTAATTACTGAATTTGTCCAGTAAGTACTTATGTAAGTATGTTTGGGTTTGGGCTCGATACATGTTTATAAAAATATCTCAACGCCTGTCAACTGGCACATCCTGTAAATGCCCTGTGACAGTGTACTAACTAAGATTCCACTTTTATAGACAATGCACTAATCCTTCCTATAATCTCAGTGTATAATGAGCTTCTTGTATGATATGATCAGACACGTGTCAGCTGAATCCCTGGAGTCAAATGACTGAGGAACATTGAGACTCCACAAGCTTGCCTGCACATACCGTAAATCTCCTCTTTGTTACTCTGTACCAGTTCTGCTGCAGTGTGTACCCCGTCACATGCAGCCTACTCTCTGCCTCTGTGATTAACTCGTAACTCTGCATTAGCTACCCATCCTTGTATCTGGCAGCATTGTTCTGTTTTCCAGTAATTAGAATTTTCAGCCATCATGTCAAGCTAAGCGGGCATGTGGGAGGGCAGCCAACCAACTCTTATGTGAGCTTGTGAACCTAGCGTTGACTGAGCAGTGGGTACTTTGTTATCTAATGCAGGCTGGGGTTGGTGCGGCATGGAAATGAAAGTGGATGGGAATTTAACTCCTAATCCTTCTTACAGACTCTCTCTCCTCCTGGTTGGACTCACCAGTAGAGTTGGATGAGCTTTAACTGTGCCTATGGCTGTACGTCTGTGTGTCTTTTGTACATTGCATTTTTTGCGGTAGCATTTAAACATAAAGATCAATTATTTGTCGTCACTTTTTTGGATTATAATGAAAGAAATTTCTTGTTAGCCCTCCATCAAGTACGTTAGAATGGAATGGTGATTTGGGGTTTGAGTTTGAAAATAATATGCACAGGTCCACATCAAAACTACAGTTGTCATGTGTGTTGAGCTAAAATGAAACTGACCTTTGAAGAGGTAGGTCTCGAGCCAGAGCTTGAGGCCTATGAGCTGACAGTCACACCTCCAGGGGTTTCCTCTCAGCGTAATACTGTTGATGTGTTCCAAGTTCTCTAGCAGGGAGCGCTCTAGTCTGATGAAGCGGTTATGAGCTAGGCCCAGGTGGCTCACGTTCCTCAGGCCTTCCCCTATGGCAGTGGGCAAACTGCCCAAACTGGAATAGAGCACAGGGACTTCAGTTAATACAGCATCAATAGTAGGTTCCCTAAAACTTCCAGTGGCCCTTTTAACTACTAAAAAGTTATTTATTAGGAATGCCTATCTCAAGAAATATTGCCTTAAGTTATGGTTATGATTTGCATTTCATTAATTGAAGCATACAAGGATTTACCTTGAACTGACCAGGACTTAACTAGTGAAAACTCAGTATATCAAAGCTAAACCCGAGCCAAGACTAAAAATGGAGAAAACTGCAATTTATTTAAGAAGAAACGCATACCACATATATAAACAAGATTGTTCTTATCATTGATCTGGGTGCTTGCAACATACCTGTTGTGTGATAGATCCAGGTGTGATAGTGATCGCACTGGACCCAGTAGCCTCTTATCCAGCTCTCGGAGGCTGTTATGGGCCAGACTGAGGCGCTGGAGCGTCCTCAAACCTAGGAGAGCTGTCGGGGAAATTGTCGATATGGAATTATTTGACAGATCCAGAATTCTGACAAGAGGAATGTCACGGAATGCCATTGAGCCCAGTCCTCGGATCCGGTTGTCCTGCAGATAGAGTTCTTGTGTATCTGGATGGAGCCGCCTGGGAATGTCATAGAGGCCGCGTCCACGGCAGTCCACTACTTTGGTGTTGCTGTTGCAGGTGCATTCTTTGGGACAGGCAAGAGATGGAGCGAGGAGGAGGGGAAAGAGGGCCCATACCACTGCCACTACAGAGAAACCAGAACATTTACCCACAGATTTTGAACACTTGTTGTTTACATCTTAATATTCACACCACTATGGCTATAATATTATCTTTCATTAAGAGTGAGATCACGAAACAAGTGATTTCAAAGTGAATTGTCTCTATAAACTTTTTGATGACTGTAAAATGATAAATTTACTGTTTACTTTCATATCTAGTTGAAAAAAAAGAACAACAAAAAAACATAAAACCTTCAGGTGATGTTGCCAGACCTTTAAAAAGCCCTCCTATGTTGTGCAGGCAGCTTTATCAGCTAGTTTCTGCTTTTTGCTGATGTCACCTTAATGATATATAGCCTACAGAATTTTGTGATGCTTTGTGAAGTCAGCCTTAATAAATAACAAAAAGCTTGTGTTGCAGTCATAGACTACAGGATACAAGTGGATTATGGAATGTAAAGGCATATTTTACTCAAACATAATTTACTGCCATTTTGTGAGTGATTCCACATCTTGTTCTCATTCATCCTTTATTTCTATTTAATAAAGACCTTTATGCAAAATTCTTTCCTCCCACCCCTGTTCAGGAGTGGTGACCCCAGATAAAGACTGGCCCCTCACCTACTCTCCACCCACACACAGAGCCATACACAGCAGATACCACTGTCTGATAGCCTTTGAGATGTCTATTCCATCTGGAACATTGCAGTTGTATTTTTAGCATTGCCTGGGCTAGCTTCAGGCTCAATGAACTGCAGCTAAGCCTGAGAATGCAGCTAGCCCCATACACATGACGTCTGAGAGAGAAATATAATATTTTGTCTGTAGATGACCTCTAGGAACAGATCAGATTGTTGAAGTGTATTTTCATATCAAATGGCTGTAAGATTTTAGCACTAAATAATCTAAATGTAATCACGAATGGCAAATGTCATGATAAGGTCATGTTTACAATGGTCAAAATGCTTATGACTTTATAGGTGCACAATTCTGTATTACTTATCATGAATACGATTGTGATGGAAGAATAAATGTGTTTCTGTAGATGCCCAGTGCCTTTATAGTGTGTACTGATTTCCCAAAATTATTTAGCATATCAGTTTCAAGTGGGATTGCCACCCTGAAGGAATTATGATGATTTGGGACTGGCACAAAGATTAGACTATCTTGTGATCAAATATGACTGTACTGTGTTTCATTTCATACAACTGGAATTCATTTCATTACATGGTACTACATAATCATCATTCATTAATTATTTCATTAATTATTTACATAGAAACAGTCGTGCATAACAGTTAACCGTTAATCTGGTTAATGAATTATCGTGAATAGCAAAGGTGCCAGAATTTTCTTAGTTAAAATATACAGTATATTTTGTAAAAAAAAAATAAAAAAAAATACTTGTTCTTTATTTATGAGGTTACAGGTGTACATTCATGATTTGCAGGTTAGAAAATAACTTGTGTCTCAGGTGTTGGTTAACACTGACACCTGAGGCTTTTGTTTTTGTTCTATGTTGTTATTTTTTGAGCCAAAAAGAGAGAAAACATCAGTTCAGAGCATGGTTGACTAGAAATGTGATGTGCTGCTGTGTAAAGCCGTCTGTTAATCACTATCCTTGTTAACTAAATGAGAATGCATGTAATCAAAGGTGCCAGCACATATGTGCATTCAAAATAAACATACAAAGCATACCTACACATATAACACAACATTAACAGGGCATCAGCTCACTGGAGCGTGGTAACAGCCGCTCTAGAATGAGGTCAACACAAGCAAATAGCTTTTTCACTGTTGTGTCCCTTCAGCACAACACAGTCAAGCTTGTCAAAATGCCCAAACAAATTATGTAAATCAGATTAGTGCCTGTACGGGTGAAGGTGCTGCAAGTGGGACCTAAAGCTGCACATTAAATCAGTCACAAGTGAGATGCGAAATTTACTTCACATATTGTGTGTTAAAGCGTAAAATTGTTAGTTCATTGTTTCCTAGTTACACAACAGATCAGCCTACATAGTCACAAATGTACAATGCACATGCAATATTGTTCACATCCCTGGTGACTTACCTCTCATAACTGCCAATCTTAGGGCAAGCAGCTTAAGCCCAATGTCGTCTTAATTCCCTTTTTTGAATTTGGGTAATTGTTGTTGGTTGGCGATCCATTAGTCGTTCATTTCAAAGATGTTGCCTCTGGAAAGCTCTTAGGATCCTCAACCCTGTTCAGGCACCCATGTTGTAACCCCATTGGACTGGTCAGGTCAGAAGGCAGAGAGCATGATCCAGCCAAGCCAAGCAGGCAGTCTGGAATGACTAGGAGTTAAAGCAGCGCTGCCTCTCTCTCTTCCTCTCTCTCACTCCTCACACTCTCCCCATTATAATTTCTTCTTTTTTTTTTTTTGTTCCTTCCTATTGAAATTCACTGCCTTTTGATGTCTACCTCAAAGCTATACATCGTCCCAAGTGTAAAGCACGTGTTAGCGCTACCAGTGTGACGTCCCCCGGTGGACAGCTGAACCCCTAAATCTCTCACACTCCCAAGATCTCCTATTTCTGTTGCAGACTTAAACAAGACAAATATAGATCGGGATAGCAGTGTGTCAACACAAATACTCAAATGGTTGGACAGGCATTGCAGCAGCGAGCTCAGTTTTGCCAGCGTGCCATGTCGCACTGGCATGAAGTGATTATGCACAAGCCATGGGCAAAGGAGAAGGGGGGAGGGGGTGGTATAAGGGTACACGGTAATACAACACGCACCAAAGCACAAAAACACACACAAACAGGGTACAGTGGCACTAAGCTGTGGCAGCTCATGTGCGTGAGATGTTTGTGGTAAATGAAATGACAGTTTTTATGAGCTGCTGGGTCACTTGAAGGAGAGCCACCAAAAAGGATTGAGGAAAAGATTAATGATCAAATTATATCAGCAGTGAATATGATCATGTTGTCACACTGACCTTGACTTGTTCCTTATGTTGTGTCCTTCGTCCTTCTGACAGGGCTTATTATTCTAATGTACATTGTGCACAGCCATATTGTATTAAATTGATTTATTTTTATATTATGCTTCAGCCATACAAACCTTGGAGAGCATTTTAGCTTTAGTTTATAAGATATGTCTAAAATATATACAAATCCAGGGATAGTAGACTTCTTGTGCTTGGTTCAACCCCAATTAGAGAGTTGCATTCAAAGTGTGAAGGGCAGCTGTAGTCATAAAAATGTCTATGCAAATTCTATGCAAATCATCACACATCACATCTGTGGCAAGCCAATGTTGAAAAGGAGACAAGAATAGTGGCATACATTTCAGTCAATTCAAGACCACAAAATATCCTGCCTACTGTTGTAGTATTTTGATTAGATTTTTTATCTCTGCTAAATTCATCTGAAAATATGCTATGAGAATTGCACTTGTGAAAAGCCCATGATTTCTCGTGATTTTTCTGTAAGATAATTATGCAGTTTTCTTCTGTTAACATGTGGGAGTGTCCTCAGCTGACTGATGCGTCAATAAAGTGTGACTAACTGCACTATAATTTCCTCAGTATTTCGCTTTCATATTTATTGTTATGTGCATACTTTACAGCTGATATATGCATGTGTCTAACCTATGACTGCTGAAAGAAATAAAGAAATATCAAGAACTAGACCACCAAATAAAACACCTTTCCCTCAACCTTCCACCCACACAAGGCAATAATAACCATATATATAACAAATAGTTCATTAACACACCTAACACATGTAATAAGACATAATAAAAAATAAGTATAAACCATGGCAGAATTGTGTGTACAGGACACTGTGAATCTAAACTTTGAAAGGATTCCCTCTGCTTGTTGAGTCACATTAGTGCAACAGTATTCTTCTAGTGTGAATGTAAAGGTCAGGTTTTGTACCGGGGGCATTTCTCAGCCTTCTGTTGGGCTCTTCTTCCAAATGTTAGTGCTCTCCCTGACACAGTCCACCCTTGTGTTTGTGTCCGAGGCTCTTCTCTGCACATGAGCCCATCAGCCCTCACAAATCAGTGTGTTTCTCTGAGAGGGCAGCGAAGCGTGGGCCTGCCCCCAGAGGTGCGCTACTGCTCCAGTCTGAGACAGATGCATCAGACAGCACAACAAGGCCCATGGTTTAGACAGGCTGTTTGTGGCAGACCATACACCTGCTTTTGCCATTCACATCATGAGTTCATGCCTCTATTACAGGTGTGCAAAAATGTAGAAATATTGATATATCGTATTGTTTAATGTGGTGATACAGTAAAGATATCGGGGGCTATTGTATTGATATATCGCCAAGAGTATTTTTTGGTAAATTTTACTAAATAATTTTGTTACAGAGCTACAGTTTTGTTGCTTGTTCAGTGGAGGGAAACTTGTTTATGCAACACATTTGACATATTCGCTGTTTTGATGAGTAAAATGGGAGTGTTTAATTTTAACTTTGCACAAGAAGTGGTTTGACAAAGACTTTTGTCATCACAGCTATGATTTAGCCATTATGTTTTATTGAATCGCATTGAATCAATAATGAAATCTATTGTATCGCATTGAATCGTATTGAATCGTATTGAATTGTAAGTCCACTGTATCAAGATACGTATTGTATCGTGGCTTATGTATCGACGTATGTATCGTATTGGCAGATTCTGAATGATATCCAGCCCTGTTTTCTATTATGCATTATGAAATTGACTTGCAATTTACCAAAACAAACATTAAATATATCACAATATTAGTTTCTGTTAAAAGTATTATTATTCAATTCTGTTTAAATACTAACATTTTAATAATAAAAAAATGTTAAAAAGTCTCAATAATCAACAATAGAATTTTCATTTCATCGTTTTGTTTTAAATAAACCATGTGGTCTTTTAGCAGCTCTGATAGGTCAAGATCATTTTAAAACTATTCAGAAAAGGTCCAGTTTTGTCTTTGTCCAAATGAGTATTTAGTTTCAGCACTAGTTTTAGTATAGATTAGTATTTATTTATTGATGTATTTGACAACTCTTTAAATTAAAGGTTACAAACTTGTGAATGATTGTGAATCTTAACTTATATATGCCCTATAATGTGACATCCTACTTCATAATACTCCCTTTGATCATACTCATTACAGAGCATCGCGTTTTCCCTTGACTATAGTAGTAGATTTTGAAATATGAATATATGAAAGGGGATTTATGTCTCTTCATCTTTTCAGTTCATCTCATGACACACATATTTCCAAGTTCTGGGGAAATTAAACAGGATTCAACATACTACAGTATTAAAATGAGCTTTAGTCTTTTTGTTTTAAGCTGAACTCCCCTGAGCCACTAGCACTGAACTTTTACCTGCTTCTATAACCTAGAGAAACAACATGAAAAAATCCTTTGCATTAGTCTGGTGATTGTCTAGATCATGGTACACTGGCAGACTAAATAGATTAAGGGCCCATATGCAATTTTCTAGTTTTGGTTACAATGCCATTTCCTCAAAAAAAAAAAAATAAATAAATAAAATTGTTTCATTCACATGTTTAATTAAATTAAATTAAATATAATCAATCAGTTAAGATACTGTCCCACTTTAACTCTATATTTTAATAGAATTTGAGTTTGTTGTTGAGTTTAGTTTATTTTCTTTGGTCAGTTAACATAATGATACATTATATTACAATGATTTAGTACAGAAATGATGCATATCACTAAAGTTATTCTACAGACCGAAAGGGTTTAGGCTAAAGTTTTAACACTTATTTTGCTAAACGAACTTCTAACATACAGAACAGGATACAAGACGGCAGAACTGTTTACTGAAAACAACACAAAACTCCTCTTTTAGGAGTGCAGGAAAGAATACATACCTAATTTGTTTGGTATACACACATACACAAGACAGACACACAATCTAATACATATTGATGTTCGTACACACACACACACGCACACACGCACACACCCAAACCCATGTACACGTTAGCATTAGTATTCATACCTATTGGTTTATAAATACACAGGCACTTTGTATAATTGAGGGTTATAGTTAATCTGTAAATTGCATGAGAAAGATATAATAATAATAATAATAATAATAATAATAATAACAACAATAACAATAATAATGGTTATTATTATTATTATTATTATTACATTTATTACTATTATTATTACAAACCCTGCATATATAGGTTAAGTTCTTCTATCAAAATCATTCTGTTCTACCTAGTGATGTCATGCTTTAATACAGGAAGTGCGCCACTGTGTTTTTTACTCTAAACACCTTTGCTAGAATTATTTGGATAATTTCAGCCCTGGAATTGCCCATCTCTGCTGAACAAAAGGTAAAAAATAGTTGTTTACTTCAAAAATACCACTACATGGCATCACAAGGTGGAACAGAGAATTTTGAGCTTTGGGGATGCAGACAGACACAGTAAAGGATTACTCATAAACATGTGTGAATGAAACAAAACACAACTCCAGGTATGTTTTTGATGAGGTAACAACATTATAACATTGCTAAAAGCTCATGGAAGTCAATTATGTGTAATATAAGACATTTAATGCTTGGGGTTCAGACATTTAGATGTTATTTTAAACATACAGGACTTTGCAGTGATTCAGAACAACAATTTAAGGATCTAAATCTGACACTGCTATATTACAATGTCACATAACAGCTTCATTAAAATATCCAAATTGTATCCCATACCATGGCTGGACAATTTAATTAGAGCATAGATTCTATGGTTTTATTTTTTACTCTCTCTGCTACCATGTGTAATAAAAATAGATTTGTATTGCTTGTTTCCAGTGCCGTTGTCCATGCCTCCTTATTTAGTCTATTATATCAAGGTTGTTGTATGTGGGTGAAGAAAAGAGAGGAGAGATGCTGGCAAATGATCTGACAAGATAATCTGCACCTGTTCCCCTGGGCTTGGGCTAAAACAGGACACTGCACCCCACTGCCTTTAAACACTCACTAACAACAAGCCCACTATTATTCAGTTCGTCCAAGTGCAAAGTACGCTATGTCTGTTGCCCATGTTTACTTTGGTAACCACCCCTTGTTCTCAATGAGTTCCAGACAACTTGCTACAAAAGTGGTCAATAATTCAACTTTTTAGAGAACTTCAAGTTAACTCAATTTATCATAGAAGCAATAGACCTGCCTTTGTATTGCAGTACATTGAGTTAGAACTGGTTTGGCAAGGAATAGGCCTGATACTCGATTTAAAAAAAAAAAAAGTTTTTTAAAAATCTTTATATAGACAATGTGTAGTAATTTTCTACACAAACAATAGTATTTTATTTATATTACTAAAACTAAAACTTTTCAGGAATGGTAATGTTGTTCTGTTGTGTGTGTTTTAGTATTGATACTTGCTAAATGAGTATCTACCAGTAGTTTTAAAATTAGTTTTAGTATCAGTTATGATCTGATTTTAAACATTTTGGACAACCATGCACCAATGTGTTCATGACTTTAAATAAAAATATACTTTTTCAACACTGTCTTCTTTTCTTCCAGCTGTGGGAATTCAGATGAAACTGGAGTTTTTTCAGAAGAAATTTTGGACGGCCAGTAGACAGGTAAGGGCATTTTTACCACACTGTCTTACTGATATTGTACCAGCTAAAACTTCAAATTTTTCTTGTAGTGTTCAGCTTTGGATAGAAAGTGCTCTATCAGTTGTGATGATGAGGTCTGTATACCTTTAATAGTTACTTTTCCCATTTAGGTCTTCTCAGCAAGTGTACCTAATTTGTATTCATTTATTTGTTATTCCCTTTTTAACAGAACATTAACTGCTACCTCATAGACAATAATGGCTTCATTCTGGTAGCAGAGGATTACACATTGGTAAGGCTAACTACATGTAAAATGTTTTGTTTTGGATTGTCCTCATGTGTTATTTTACACCACATTCAAGAGAATAGTACTGCTGTATGCTTAACTGTCACCAGCCATCTCATCACTCTGGCTCATCCCAAATATCAGACCTCTGGCGGTCTTTGGCCTTGGTGGTCTCATGTTCTTTTCATGCATCTCTCATAGTTTTTGTTGTGCAATTTAGACTCTTAGATTATAGTAACAGTGGTGTCTGCATAATTCACAACACATACAGTTTACACATTAGTTTGATACAATGGTGGAACATAAAAAAGTGCTGTACTTAAGTATACATTTTAGGTAACTGCACTTTACTAAAGTAGATTTTACTTTTTACTTTTACTACCACTACTTATTATTTTTATTTTTTACTATTGTTTGAGACCTGCTGAAAAGCCTGTGGATTTATTTTAACACATTTTTAGTTTGAGCAAACTACAAATATACAAAGCAAAATTCAGCACAAATCTTTATTAAAATCAATGCATTCGAAGCTTTATTAGATGTCAAAATCTGCATTAAAGACTTTTACTTTTTACTCTTGAAGTACATTTGAAACAGGTACTTTTATTTAAGTAGATTTTTAAATTAAATTAAATTTTACTTGAGTATTTCTTTGCTTAGTATCTGTGCTTTTACTTAATTAAACTCACCGTATAATAATTGAGTACTTCTTCCACCACTGGTTTGATAGAGGACAAATTACAAATATTGTTTCTTACAATTCTACATTTTATCATTTTTTTCAGACTGGAAAATTCTTTGGTGAGGCTGAGGGAGCAGTTATGAACAAGCTCCTACAGATGGGCTCTTTTAAAAGGTAAGCGTCTCTGTCATCACAAGTGTAGCACAAATATACAGTGTATGTTCTGTTCATGTAAGTGGGCGCTAACTCAGGCCTGTCTCCTGTGGCGCTGACAGCTCTTGACTTCACTGATCATGTTAAGCTATTCATTACTGAACCTTGACCTCACGGGCACAGCTCTCCGTTTGGGGATTACAGCAAATCTTTTCCTGAAGCGAGGAATTAGGACAAAACTTGAAGTTGGACACACATTTCTCCGATCCATGCTCTCTACTGTAGCCTAGTGCCTGAAGACATGGGTGGAGACTTTCAGCTCTAGATTTGGTAATACAACCCAAGAAGACATCATTCCTGCTATTATTTCTGTTATGACGACATTGAAGAGACTGAGTGCTTCCATGGTGTGCTGTAGACCATTTTTCAAACATTGCCTTGATGTAGAATCGCATGTGACAAATAGTCATAAAAACTGACAAGGTTTGATCTTGGGACTTGACAGTTGATGTTTTACAACCATACAAACAAATGGCTTTACTCATGTCCCACAACTGAGCTTTCTGAAAATTTAAAATGTCAGATAGTAAATGAATGAGTAGTGACGGGGGTTTTAGGATGAAGACTAATTTCAAACATCTTAGTGCTAATGAGTCCAATATGATCTGTCATAAAGGATTTTAAAGCAGTTCCAGAAATCTCTCATGACACATGATGCTACAATATCAAAACTGGATCAAACATTCATTGATCTGAGTAATGATGCACAGTCACACTAAAATGAACTTTTATTCTGTCCTTTACACAGTTCAAACCTGTGTTTCAAACAGATACCAAAATGCAGTATATAATTTAGTATTTATCAGTTTATTTATAAGCCTGTTTTTAATATTCTTCAGTCATGGCCATCTTTTTTCATAAGATTGTTTTGAATTGTTAATTGCTATTAGGGATGGAGGGTATATCTGTCCCAATATTGAATACAGATAGTTGGAAAAACTCTCTCATATTTATCGATCTTTTTTTGGCAATGCCCCAGTCTCTGTGTGCTCGTGTGTCATTCCCAGATTGTGCTCAGTGCATCATATTTGTCTTTTTGAACAGACTCATGAGTAAAAATGTAAATGGAAGAGCAATTAGGCAAAAAATATATCCATATGGCTACACAAACATGCAACAAATTATTTTATATCTCTGATAACTACATTGTCAGTTAATGTGTATCTTTATTTCAACTTAAAATAAGTTTGTGAGCCTTGCTATTTATATTAAAAGCTAAATATTGGTATCCATAAACTGGTTATCGGCCACAGCAAGCTAAATATTAGGTATCTGTATCAGCTCAAAAATCCGTATCGAACCATGCCTAATTGCTATGGAAATAGTGCATATTTTTCATCGCTCTGATATCCATGAATAATACTGTAGATAATGTGGATTGATTACACAATACGACCTCGGCTAGTGCTGAATAAGCCCGTATGACCCCACTGTCCCTACAATGATGAATACTGGCCGGAGGCTGTCGATAGGCCAGCCCCACTCATACATTCCTCTGCCCTGGACCACAGCTTAGGAAACACTGTCTGGCCTTTCAGAGTGTAGATGTGTGTTAGACTACCTCTCCATAACCTCACAGACAGACGGCCCCAGACATCACCTCCTCTGGGTCCACTAAGCCCTTAACCCCACAATATCCCTCTCAATATCCTCCAATCATCCACACACACCTCTGGACACCACTTTGGGCAACCTCCTGGGACACTCTCAGCTTTCAATATTTTATTTTTCCTTTTAATTTATATATCTGAGTCCTGGTGGGTAAAAGCACTCCTCAGCAGGGGGTGGAAGACACAACAAAGAAGAATCTATTAGTATCTATTAGTAAGGGAACATGATCATGATTTTTTTGGAGCAAGTAGGTTTATAAAATTCAAATTTTGGTTTCACATTGTTGTTGTTTTTTTTTCCTCAATCCATTTTAAATTTGCTTTGGCCATGAGAGCAGTGTTTGGTTTACAGCTTTTGTGCTGCCGTACATCTACACCACTGCCTTTATCTAAATGAATAGCCCCATGTATACAAAGTCCAACGGTTAAAAAATATATATTCTCTTTCTATGTCTATCTGTGTTGATGATCCTTGGTTTTCTTTGCTTTGTGTTCCAGAGTGACACTGTATGACTATCAAGCACTGTGCTGGGTCTTTTCAGAGAGCAGCGGCAGTGGACACACTCTCCTAGACGTAAGCAATTATTCAACCGTTTCTACATTGTACGAGGTGGTTATATAATGGGAGTATATGCACAGTTGAAATATGTGAAAACCTGACCCATTATCATTAATTCAACTACTTTTTTTTTGTACACTATGTATACAAAAGGGTCTGCTTTCTATCAACATCTTTTTTCTGTTTCACTCTGCAGCCGTACTTTGCCTTCTTCTCTGCAATCAAGTGGATTTTGACTGAACTTGTCATGTAAGATTATATCAAAATTATTGCACATTAGCTCAGATAGTGGACTGCATAGTGGATTTATTGACAATACATTGTAGAACTGATTTTAAATGCATATATCATGAAGAAAATTGAAAAAGAAGAGAACTTGAATGTCATCGTAAATTTTTGTAACTTTCTGTTTAGCTTTCTGATGGAGTTCAACCTGTACAGCTGGTGGTACTCAGACCTCACAACAAAAGGTATGACTGGTCACTTGTAATTCTATAATGTTCAGAAAAATATAGATAGTGTATTCTGTGTAGCAACAAGCATAGGGTGACCAGACATTTCGGTTTCCCCAGGACAGTCCCAGTTTTGAGCCCTGTCCCAGAAGATTTATCCAAAACCCGTGATTTGTCCCATTTTTGTTTAAGAAATGTTCCAGGAGTCCCTGTTTTTGACCAGACTGATCGCTGTCAACAGTAAAGAGAGGCATGAACTGACATTTGTGTAGGAATATAGAAAAGCTGCTTAAAAATGACCAAAACACAAAGAAAATATGACTATACTGACACATTTTAGCCGTGAATGGGCTGAGTGCGTAACATTTTTCCTTAATTATGCACTCAGTGTTATTATTACCAACCAGTTTTTTTTCCTGGTCACCCTAAATAAGCATGTAGCAACAAATCAGCATGTCAAATCAGCAAGTATAGTATAAGGAAAAAGAGCAAAAATTGAAAATACATTAATAAAAAAAAGTTTTTTTCATGTCTACTCCTAACCCTTGATGTCAGTCCTGTCCAAGACCAACCATTCAGTCTTGTTAACTGGGTTTAGAAAGTAATGCAGCACTTTACGATTTCTTACACTACATGTGTTATTAGAACAAACCAGGGCCAATTTCTATTTGTAACAGGAGAACTATTAAATCCCACATTTTCATTATGTTGCCTATGTCTTTGCTCCTTTGGTTTTATTCTTCCCTTTCTTCTTCTGTCTCTTTTTGCACTCACACACTCACTTACACATACTTATCACCGTTGCCAAGAGCTGAACACCATGTTGCCTTGTGCTTTATGAAGTGTTGAATACTTGTTGCCTGTCAGAAACGCTAGACCTATAAGCTGCATTTTAATTTTAGGCCAAAACTAATATGCAGATAGCCGGCAGGGTGAGAGAGACACAGAGACCGCAAAATGGAGGTCTATAAAACACTTCCCTTGCACACTCTCATCCCAAATAATAAAGTGAATCTGGTCATTGCAGTCGGGACAATTTCACAGCTGGCTAGTCTCATGTCTTAGCCGAGTTTTCTATATCTTTTTACAACAGAGACACAGAGCTAAAACAGCCGGCGGTTCGGTCCGTAACCCAATATGCACAGCCTCTCGAGCCTGACTAAGACCAGTTTGTGCACGTAGCCTTTGTTCTCAGATAGTTTATACAGTACATACACACACCGCAAAGCAACGCACATTAATTAAACCATGCCACCCAAACATAGAGAATAATCCGCTATCTAAGCAGTCTACATATCACAACACTATGGTACTTCAATTTCAAAGTGCCGGTTAGATGAGTTGTGTCTTAAGCTTCCCAAATATTGACTTGAGGGGAATTAGTGTTTCCTTTCCATGCAGTGCTGTTGGAGACCTCTAGAAGGCAGCATAGTTCAAGTAATTTATTTTGGAGCATTGGAAGGCAAACTGAAAGGATCGCTGCACATTTTGGCTGCGTTCACACTACACAGTCCACAACATAATTGGAAATGAACATGAAACTAAACCTGGACTAGACCTGGACTAAATCAGGTCTAGGAAAGGACCAAGCCAAGTCTGCATTAGTACCAAACTGGGTCCATACCAAGCCACACTTAAGTACACTGAAATGCTTTACCTTCTGGACTCTGGTGTTGTAATAATAGCATTGTAGTAATCAGACTGGTAGTACTTTTTATAAATACAGATTTCCTAACAATATTTTTAAATGTATTGTATTTATATTATACATTATATTTAATTATTTAAATTTATTCTGTTTTTCCTTTCTAGCTCAGAGGATAGGGCGGTCCATGCAGGTCCCGTGTGACACAGAGTACCCAGCCTTTGTTTCGGAGAGGACCATCAAAGAGAACATGGGCCACACCGACTGCGACGGCTGCATCAAGTACAATCACACATTCAAAATACATTCACAACTAAACACAACACTGCTTTAGACTAATGAGACTTTAACTTTTGGCAACTACGGCAGAAGATAACAATGAAGCACCAATTATGGTTAAGTGGAGACATTTTCATCTGCATAATGCCCCATAATGAGCAACGCATTCGAATCATTTGTTGTGTGTTGAAAACGCTTTTATCCGGGTCATCCATCAGAGACACACACTCAGCCTCTCCTCGGGCGTTTGAAATACGAGGCATTTAGAGACCAGGGAGAGCGCTGGAAAAAACAGCTTCCTTTAAAAATGGCAAAATGAGTGTGGTCCCCATTAACAATTGGGGCTTTTCTGTCAGGCAATTGTGGGGTGTTCTCCGGATCCCTCCACTGGGCTTCATTGCTCCCAGCTGTGGATCTGTCCCATGTGTGCTGTATTGTGTGCTCCTTGGACGTACTTCTCCACATACTTCTACTTTTATTTGAGAAAATAGGAAATTAGCTTAAATACTTTTTAAAGTGTTATGGCCCCATTATATTAGCCATAGTACTAGTAGTATTACTAGTAAAGTATTACTACCATTAGTGTTGTTGTGCTACTAAGATTTCAATTTCAATACTAAGGTATCGGCTCAGTACTCGAATATCAATTCTGATACCGCGATGATAATAAAAAACTTAGAAAATAGATTGTAACAGAGTGATTTTCAACATTAAATAATAGTATTTTCTTTTATATTACCATGCAGTCTTATATTTTTGTAATCCCTCAGTCATCCAGGTATAGTACCTACCAGATAATAATAATTTGAGTTCATACATCACGTACATATCATATTAAAGCTGAGACTAGCACACTCTATAATGTCACATTGGGGCAGATCTTTTTTAAAATCCACTGGTTTTGACAAAGTAAAATGGAGCTTTTATTCATAAATGTTTGCACTCTTACAGTATTAGTAATAGAGAAAATTGGTGATAGACATCTGTGTTAGGTTATGCACTGGCCGGGCTTTGCTCCTTACATTGGGGCACGTGTGAGTGCTTTACATTGGTGGAAATAGACCCTAAGCTATGGCCCACTAAAGCCCTCTTTACTCTCTGCATGTGTGTCTGCTGGGGTGCGGATCTGAATACTGTGAGTCTAATGCTTCCCAAAAGAGAATAATATATATTATACATTACATTATCCTATTTTTTTTTTTATGTTTTAAGCGGCAAGATTTAGAACAAGTGCCATATTTCAGTCCTTGGACAGTCATTGTGATGTTATTATGGACAATAGTGAGAGCCGTATATCCTCTCATACTATGGCCTGTACCCCATATGAGCTACATGCTCAAACTTAAACATTCAAAGCCATATGTAAGTTTATGCTGTTATTCTTAGCTTTTGAAAACTGTTTGAATAAGATCCTATCTTTATATATTTAGAGAAGATTTTCAAACAACATTTTTAAACAAATGAGTATAAAAAATATAAGTACATGGGCTGCATAAGAAAATGATTAAATGCGCTTAGGAAGTTCCTTTTCTTCACATTGCCCCGGACGTGCGTCATCGTCCGCCATGACAAGGAGCATCCAAATTGATCAGTGAGGTTAGGAAGAAGTAAGGAAAGGAGCATTTATGCTTCCTTTCATAGCTCCTTTAGCATAGGAAACTCCTAACCAGCGGTAAGAAGCTATGAGGTATCCCACACTCCACTGCGCAGATCAAATTGAACATTTCCAAATACTTTGTACATGTTCTACACTGCAGCAAATAATTAATTCTAATCGTCTGCATAAATAAACTCAACTTTACAACATATAAAACATAACTACTATAGAGCCACATCAGCCTGTTTTATATAATGAGCTTTATTCAGCTTTGCGCACATTTGTTTACATTTTACAGAAATTAAAATGACATGGCTCATTTGCATAAACTAAGCACTGAAAAAAAAAACCCAGCTTGCTCAAAGTTTTTACATGTTTACAGAAGACCTGAAACCTCGAGCAGCCCTGTAAAAATGTGTTAAATGATTAAAAAATACACATGAAGTCATAGTATCTTATGCTGCAAATGCAATAAGAGAGATGGAAAAGCCATTGTGTGTTTATTGAACTTTGGAGTAATTTAAGTCATTGAATTAGTATTTGTAAAATTATATTGCGTAGTCGTTGGTCACATTTCCTAAACTGTGAAGACAGATGTTTCTAAGAGTCATACCACAGCTCTGGCCCAATTATCTAATTATGAAATGACTGGAAATAAAATGACATCCAAAAGTGTTAAGCCCAATGAATCCCGTGGTTTCAGACCTTAGTTCTTGACGTTATAAACCATGAGAATTTAGATTGTTAGAATGTCTCATGGATTTATTTTGATGGACATAACTTAAAGTAGAGTATGTAACATGAAATTACAAAGTATTTAAAGTCTTTACCTGGAATGTTCCACAGTTTGTCACTTACCTGTCAATTTTTCCTATTACAGATGTTTGTATTGCTCAAAAACATATTGAAAAACATACATTCTTACTGCCTCCCCCTTACCTTTTACTTGGCGTAGTTGCATTACCTTGTCTCCTTGGGGATGGATCAATTTAATATTACTGTGGATTATCCTAGGCAAAGCGCTAAATCTTCATGGGCATAAGCAATGGTGACGGTTCCTCCACATGAACAGTTACATAGTGCACCTTTGGCACTATGGGAATTTGGCCTAAATATTCATCTCTGTTTAGTAATGTTTAATCATTTAATCATCATTACTTAGCAGCTTTGTGTACCTTTCCTTGTTTGTGTCCTCAGGCCTCAGTTACTCCAGCAGCTGTCCTGTGAGAATGGGTTTGGCCATAGGAGCTCTGTTTTGTGTCAGCTGGTGAAGCGTGGCTGGCTTTAGTGTGGATTATTAAATATTGGCAGATCTCACTTCACCCAGATCGGAACTGGCCTGGTCTATTTGTGGATCTGGTTGTGCCTGCTCTCGGTTATGGTGGGATCACTATATTAGCGTGTGGTGCTGCTGGAACTCCTCAGGGTTTGTAGACTTAACATAGCCACAGGAAATTAGTCATGGTATTAAATTAGCGGGGTGGAAATATTACTAAAGAGGTGTTTGGGTTTTTGCATTTCCTTTTTCCTTTTTACGGGCAGGAACAGAGAGCAACTACATATAACTCAAATATTTCCATTTTTAGTAGTAAATAAAAGATTCATTCGTCCAAACCTATGCAAATCAATATTATGTGCTTGTTTCTTGACATTATTCTGTGTTTATTTTAATATCTGTGTGTTTGTCAGGTCCTTTGTGATCCAGCAGATCCCCAGCAGTAACCTCTTCATGGTGGTAGTAGACAACAAGTGTGACTGCAGCATGTTTGAGCCCATCACTATGGACCCCATTGAAATCATGTATATCCTTTACTTGACTAATGCAATTTTAAAGTATATTTTTAAGCACAAATGAAACAAGTAAGTGCATGTAAAAGTAGTACTATTTTTTGTTTGATGTGTCAAAAATCAAAGGTCCACTATGTTTTTGCTTTGTCTGGGATGCTCCGTAATATGGTAGGCTTTTATTTTATTGCAGGTGTTTTTATTGCTCATATTTCATTTCATAAAATATATATTAAAAAAAACTTCATACTGTGATCACTTCTCCATAGATTTGACTGCCTTTTGCGGAACTGGCCCAGTTGATTTTAGGCTATATTTTTTACCTTTTAAATGTAAGTAATGCTACCACTGTAACCTCAATAACATCACATTACATTATGATACAGACCTAATATTAATGTTCCAAGCAATGGCAGTGTGTCAAAACTATGTAAAATCCACCCATCTGAATGATCCACTTATTGACAACCAGTCTTTGGCCCTCCTCTTCAAATATGATTCAATATTTGGCCCTTGAACATCCCTGTGTCAGACTTTCCATCAGAAAAATTACATAGTGAACCTCAGCAAACTTTATCAGTATAATTTTGCTTTGAGATAAAAGGTGACATAAATTAATTGTGCTCAAATAAGCTCATACTCAATGATGCTCACAGAAATGTAAGGCATTTGCACTTTAAAATAATTATAAAAGTACTGTTCCCATAAAGTATAAGTAATGTAAAATAGCAAGTAGTGTTTGAAATTCAAATTCTCTGATCTACACTCACCCCACACACCTCATCCAGACACCATAATGACGTGCTTATGTTAGAAAAGTGATGTTCCTTTGATTCCCCCTGCTGGAATAATGGACTGTGCATGTGTTCCTCTCCCCTGTGACAGAGATGGGAAGACTGTACATTGTTTTAATTTATGTTGAAGTTTGGGGGAGTTTTCTTGCCCTCTGTCGCGGTGATGGATGAGAGGGTTGTGGGGAGCCCTCACAGTGCCCTGTCTATCATCTTACACAACAGACCAATGCTCTGACAGCACACTGATCACTAACAGACAGAGGCTCTACCACTATGTGAAGGCACTAAGCTGGAACAGGGCGGGCTTTCATGTTGCTGCATATAGACAGACAAAAATCTACTAAGATGTGGCAAATAATGATTAAGAATTATAACATTAACACAAACTGAACAAATACATGCATGCATGTAATTAATAGAGTTGCTCTATGAAGCTATGTCGTAAGTACTACGCTAATTATTTACCTCATTATTTTGACGTTTTGCTGTTGACTGTTGATTGTTGTTGACTTGATAATGGCCAAAATGTTGATTCATTTTCATAGACAGTGAAGATATATATTTTTGTATGTTTATTTTTTGAGAACAAAGACAAATTTTATGATCTACAGTATATTTTCCCATTTCACAAACAGCCAAATCTTTTTCAAATGGGGCTTGCTCAGTATACAGTTTATTTTCTGAGGAGAGCACGCTGTTATGTTGCTATGGGAAACTAAAAACCCCACATACATAATCATAGTCAGATTGTTTTATTGCCTTAACTTCATGTGCACATAATGAATCACTGAAATGTGAGCGGCTGAAGATGCAGAAGGATAGGAGGCGTCCAGATACCTGCCACCCTTTCCACCCTGAGGTATTTGCACAACACATGTTATATCAGTAGTACTGCATAGTAGAGCTGCAGTTTCCGAGCATTAATCATTGGTTTTCTGCTTCTAGGAGAATTCGATGGAGTGTGGAGGAGCCAAGGATCTTGCACCATCTCTATCTGCTGTACTCCTTTGCATCCTTCTGGCAGTGTGTCCCAGGTGACCCTCTCCATGTGAGGATCGGCTTGGCTGGGCATGTAATCCAACTGCGACAGTGCTACAAGAAAACGACAACTCTAATCTAAAAAAAGTGACCAATGAAAAACATCTGCTGCCCCTATAGCCCTGAGGTATCCCCTAACCTGGCAACACAAAAAAGCAATATATAAGCTGCAAACAGGGATATACAAAGTATTGAACATAGTAAACATGGCAATAGCACACCTAGTAGCTTACACTATTACAGTATAATGCTATGTTCAGTTCTTTCTGGGTTCATGGTGTGGTGCTGGGCTTTGAGGTTGGAGCCACATAGAAAACACATCATATAAAGTAAAATTAAGAGATTAAAAAAAAATTAAAAAAAATCATCAAATGATGATAGTTTGTCAGAAGGGGCAGAGACTGTAAAAATGTCTGTCTAATGTTTTTTTAATGCCAAGAAAAGAATAAAATATTAAATGTACTGTACTGTGCAAAATGATCTTATGGGAAAAAAGTTTAATTTATCTGTTTTATTTATTTATTTTTGACTCTTTTGGGTTATAAGATACTGATTAAATATTATAAAATAACAAATACATATTTTAGTTTATTATTATTAAATCCTAATGTGATTTAAATAACTATGTTTTAGATTTGTATTGGGCTTTACAGGCATGACAAGGCTCTCAAAGCGCTACACCTAAGTATTTTTTCATTTACTCCACACATTCAATTATTTTTCTTTTATCAAAACCTTTTTAAAACTGAGACTTTTTACAGACTTTTGCACAGCACTGTACAGCCATTTTTAAATAAGATATTTATAATTTCAAGTGTTAACCATAAACTGTGACTCTGAGATTCTTGTGAGTGGTTGTGGATATGTGAGCTTTGCCTTATTGAATGACATGGTCCTGTTTGTGTACTTTTGAAATAAAACCTATGTTAAAAGTCTATAACTTGAATTGTGGCGCAAACACTCCATTCAAAGCCTCAGTTCTGATCCCTATAGGTCGCTCTATTGTTGTTGGCAGATTTAGCTGATTATTGCTGTGGTTTAGCTGAGATTTGGCTCTTTTTGTCAGAGTATTGTTTGTGTGTGGCGTCCATTGCCTTAGAGGCCTCTTCCTTCTCTCAAAGTCTGACTGAAGTTGAGGGCACATTGATCCAAGGCTTACCACAACATACATCTGTATTTGTTTAGGAGCATGTACAAACAGCCTTTCAACATTTATGACATGAGCGTGTGGGTCCCATACTATAGAACAACAAGTCTGTCGTACCAGAAGTTGAAGAATGCACTGGTCATACATAATGTGACTACTAAAATTAGGCCATGTTTTTAATGCTTATATATTGTATTGTTCTTATACCTATATAGCTTCATATACAACTAGAGCCATCATTGACTTATTGCAAATAGAGCCATTCCTTTATTTTCTTTTTTGAACCTAATATCTGAGTCTAATATGAGGTATTTTAATCACTCCATTGTACTAAGCATATAGGGGCAAAAAGCACAGGGTCCTAACAAAGCTAGGGACCAGACTGTACCTCACATATCATGAAGAACTCATTGAACTTTCCATTAGTTTGACTCCTTTTAATAATACACTGCAGACCATGAACAGAAAACGAGTTAATAATTGCAGTAAAAATTTGGCTTTTATACTTTATACAACAAGAGTTTTTTAGTTATTCTTTCAGTTGACAAAGCATCTTTATCACAACTGATTTATTTTTCTTTTTATAAGAATTATGGCCTAAGAAAACATATGGCTGCGTTCCGTAGACGCTGTATTTTGGATTTGTGGTTCATTCCTGTTTGCTTTCCAAGTTATGGGAAAGTCTATCCTTTGTGTGTACAAAACACTCTTATCAGTTTGGAAATTCGAGCATGGAAAAATCCTCTTTTGGTTTTCAACACATGCGAGATATGCAAATGGATACACATTTAGTCACCAGAGAAGCTTCGACTTCAAAACAGAATCATTAGTAATGTCCTTTTTCCTAAACAAGTTGAATATTATCATCTATCACACTGTATAACCCAAGGCCAAATCTACCATCTGCATTCCTTCCTATTGATCTTGCGTGTTTCTGGTCTAAGCTGGGCCTGTCAGAGGAGTCACTCATCACTGACACACAATGGCCTGGAGGGGCCCTGCAGCTCAAAACATAACCATCCATCAGCACTCACACTAAGGCAGGCTTGTTTGGTCACCATTATCTGGTCTACATGAGAAATCTCTTTCACTTACAGACATGCACTTTCACACCTTTGAACAGATGAGACTGTCCTGTCCATCCATCTTCCCTCACTTCTCCAAAGGCCATGTTGTTGATGCAGTGAAGAAGGTGCCATTTTGTTCACTGAAGCAGGTAGGCATGTCACCGGTCGAGTTTTCAGCCCTGTGTCCCTTGTCCCAGCAGATCTATCCAAAACCATTGATTTATTCCAGTTTTATACAAGACATGTCCCAGGTGTCCCGATTTTAACCAATCTGATACCCGCCAACAGTAAAGGGGGAAATTATGTTGTCATTTGTTTAGATAAAATACAGAAAACCATGCTTGAAAATGACCATAAAGCGAAATAAATGCACTAAATGAAGTCCCTCAGATTAAGTGAGTCGAGAATGGACAATGTTACATGCTCTTTTCACTATTTTATTTATATCAACCATCCCAACCTGGGTGTGTCCCAGTTTTTAATTTTGAAAATGTGGTCACTCTACACTGGTCAGGACTGCAGTACTCAAATAGTTAAACGTGACAGATTGTGCAATGTGGTGAAACGTGGTGGGATGGGAGTTATCCACAGATTATCCACAGATCTGACGTGTAACTTGGCCTGGTGGCGTTATGTAGATGCCATTTAATTTCATACTGTGGAACATTCCAAGCTAAGCAATAACATCTCTATTGAGGCAAGCAGACAGTGTACACTCTATCAAAAAGTAACATACTGCAATATGGTGCTATATGGGCATAATTATCCCCCATAATTCAGGGAGAGATAGAGAGAGTGGAATAGCTAAAGGCCCAAACATAAAACACAGACATCCTAAAAAGTGCCAATTATTGCAAAGATATTATTATATTTGCTCTAACTTTATGGTCAGAGGTGGTTAAAGGTGGGATCAAGTCATTATTTTACAAGTCTCAATTAAATCTCAAGTCTTTGACCTCAAGGCTGAGTCAGGTCCCAAGTCAAATACAGGCAAATCCAAGTGTAGTTTCGAGTCACTAGCCCATAAATCCAAGTCAAGTCCAAGTCATCTGCTTTGAGCTTCAAGTCATTTCTTTAGATTTTTGCAATTTATATAACTTTTAAGCTAAATTGTATATAAAAATTCATGGTGTATTTAACAGTTGTAGAAATTCAATTTTTTTTCCCTTTTAAATGTCTTGACAAGACCTTAGTGTGAATCATTACGGTCAGAATAGAAAGAATTAAGATTTTTTGCTTAATATCAGTTATTTAATCATGTAGCCTACTCTGAAATAGAAGGATCATGTTTCATGTAGTTCCCTCTCTTTTACTGAATTGTACTGTATTTTACTCTAGTACATTTGAGGATACCACATCACAGTACTTCAGTTACATCCAAAGTAACAAACACAGGGGTGGGAGGGACATTTTCCAGTTTGTTCCTGTAAAATTCAGCACTGAATGTATCAACTGTAGAGAGAAAAATACTTTATAAAAACATATTTTTTAGGAGAAGCATCGAGTCTTCTCAAGTCTGAGTCAAGTTCCAAGTTGAGTCCCAGTTCTTAGTCCATTTTATCAAGTCAAGTTTCACATCCTAAAAACAGTGACTCAAGTCTGACTCGAATCCAAGTCACGACTTGCAAATCCCCACTTCTGCTGGTGGTCACTCAAGAAATAAAAAAATACATATATAAAAAATCAAGTTAATGTCTTCATGCAGTAAATTGACCCAAATCTAACAAAATTATATTCAGAAATTCTGTGGATCTTCACAACTTAATGAAAACACTTGAATTTCATTTGATTTCACAGATGTTCAATCACTATGCCTTGTTTAACAGACATACTCCATCTATCATGGTCAGAGCTTTAGTGTTACCTCCAATGGAGCAGATCCCATTAGTGGTTTTCTTTGAAGACCTTAGATATACATTTGAATGGAAATGATATCTCACAGCAGAATCAAATCCAGACCACACACATAGATCGTTGGACCACAACAAGGCACCGCTAAGACAAGATGGGAAACTCCAATTCTTATACATTTGGCATTCAGAATAGGTCTACAATAATGAACCCCTAATGTTAGCAAAACAGCCCATTGCTTCTACTCAGATTGTCATTTTGTTTTGACTGGGCTTGTGCAGTACCATATGTGCAATTTTTTCACCCCTGTCCTTATGTACCTCTTCCTCTATAGCTTGAGTCGCTGGCCGCACGCTCACTAGCCGCAGCTCTGAGAATGAGCAGATGCCTTGACTAGCTCACCCACACATAACATGCACACATCGGAGACGCGGAGAACGGACCAAAACCCCAAAGACAAATTTGTTCCTGTGAATGCCAGAGGAGCGTAGAAGCCAGGGCTGAGCAGTGCCAGCTGAAAATACCCTCTGGTACTCTCACAGCGTGGGACCCCTGCTGAGGCGGAAAGAAAAGCCCTCAGTTCTTGTAGACCTCTTGGTGAGTTGGAGAACCTGACAGCCTGTACTTTAATGCTGGATGAAAATATTTTGTATGTCAGTATTTTGTATTAGTTTATAATTTGAAGATATTTTAAATGACAGGATGCGTGACGTGAAGTACTGATGAAAACCCTGCCTTAAATGAGATCTCAAGTGAACCGTGAAAACAGATGATTGCACAGTGTTAGCCAGAAATACCAAAATATGTACGCGTGTTGGTGGTACTGTCTACGCGATTGACAAACCAGCACCAGTTTGGGCAGTGACAGAATTAAAGGTGCCTTATGCCGGAATTTTTTCTGGTAGAGGATAAGCCATCTGCTTGTCTACATGGTTTTGCTTGACCTGGTATGTTCCACGGTATAGCATTAAACTTTCACTGTGGGTGTTTTTATTGCTTAAAAATACTTTAATACATTTTTTCCCAAAGACTAGGTTACGACCCTCAGGTGGGTCACAAGAGATTTTTTTGAGTCGCCTTGTCACAATCTACATGTAGGTTGAAATGTTAAGACACGTTTTGTATTATTTTTTATCTTTTTGTAACTATTGAGTATTTTGTTCCAATATTGCCGGTTCAGTTGAATGTTGAAAAGAAAAAGAAATAGGCTACATTTAATATCCAAATAGGCGACTTATGGATCCTTTTATTGCTGCTTCAATGACTCTTTTTCATTGTTTAAAACTTGAGTAACACAATGAAGAGAGAGACGCGATCATTCAGTCAACAATAAAATATCCTCATTGATGTTCAATAATGGTCAAATCCACCTTTATTTTGTTTCATTCGCACAGGTATGAGTAACCATTTCTTATTAGACTGTCTACATCTTCAAAGCTCAAAGAGCTGAAATCATCCAAATGATTCTAGTGAAGGTGTATGGATATTAAAAACACAGTGGAGCACTTCCTATGTTACAAGGTGAAACAGAGTATTTTCCGTTTGACAAAAGACCACAGCCTAAATTTGACGGGTTTGTGTGTTAAACATGTGTGAATGAAACAAAACACAACTCCAGGTATGTTTCTCATGAG